ATTCCTTTTCCTTATTCTGTAAATTCTTTGATTGGAATATGAATGTTGCTGGAAGTATGAACATTTGCACAGGACAATGATATAAATGGAACTTTAAAACTTTTTTAAGTGTTACAGTGATATTTCGTTATATGTTCCATAATATCAATAATATTGATTTTCTTGCAACATCCATAATTATTACAAATGTCAATATAACGAAATATCTTTTATGCGATGTTTATGGTGTAATAAAAATCTGTGTTTCGATTACGTTTTTGATACGTATTACTCACTTATATGTAATAATATAGAATAAAAATATACTATTAGTCCGATATTTGAAAATATGCATGCGTTCGTTGTCACTGTTAAACTGTTGTAATAACAATGGAATAATAAAATAATTTACTCAAATGTACATAATAATACATATACATATCCATAAAAACAATATTAAACGCAATAACTTTTTTGTACGCGAAGAAAAACTAATATAGGTCCGTCGGGATTCGAACCCAACACTCCTTTCTAATACGTCTACTTTATAGCGAACGGACGGAAGAGAATCCGTTCACGACCATGGTCCCTTCTTAGTTTAACGTAATTCACAAATTCACCGTTCTCATAACGTAGAGGGCAGCAGAAAATCCCTGACTTTTTACACTATCGGTATTTCAGAATATTAGACACGAAGTCCCATAAGATGATAGGTCTATCCTATACCTAGTCGGTGATAGTACCAATGAAATAATAGATTAATCTTTACGGAGAGAATGAAAATAACAGACACCTGGCAGTACTGTAGAAGTTTGACTAGCCAAACTCTAATTGGGTTCAAGTTCATTATTTAATTACTCACAATAAATAAAATTGTTGTAAATACAATGATGTGTAAATAAATTTATACGTAAAAATTTACCAATTACCAGAAGGTAATTGTTTGTGTGTATGAAGATTCTTATATCTCGTTATTACATACAAAAGATATAAAAACGAATGAGAAAGGAATGTGTAAGAAGTAACATTACTAAAATGTCCGGTACGTTAAAAAATCCTTACGATGAGAATTTTTTTACCTTAGCGTTCATATTACATTTTCATCAAGTATTGTATATAGACGCTGAAGGAGATTTAATAATCATTATAATAGCAAAGAACTGACGATCGTGACATTTTCAGTATTATAAAATATATAGTAGAGGTCGCATTTATTAGAGCATAATCATTTATTTTCTTAACTAATTAAACTCATGGTCCGTAAAATACAACACGTTCAACAAAGAACGAAGACTTTTTTACAAAGTGGAATTTGTGAACGTGATAATTTTGGTATGAGCTATTTAAAGCGAAATGTAACGTAACCCTAATTATTTTTGACATTTATAGTCTATTCTTACATATTTATACAATATTAAGTAATTCGATTTCAACTTTTTTTATCACGATAAAGTGAATTCTACGTATAGTATCATTACATAGTAGCAGTAATTTGTCGTACATGAATACCTCGATTTTTGGTAAATGACATTAATATATACTTGACGGGATTCCGTCTTATTGGTACGATAAATATGTGTAATGACAAATCTTCAATTAATGCAGATGTAAAACCAGCCAAGGAAAATTGCTCTGAAAATATTTATCAAGAATTAGAAGATTTCATAACTTCTCTTAAATTAAAAATTTAATCAAGATTCGTTGTTTCATCCTTATATCTGTTCTCTCAACTCTGGTTTCAGACGTCGACATAGATTTAGTGAACATAGGAAAAATGTTAAACAAAGTACATAGAATCATTTTATGAACGTACTTTATTGCAGAACGAATATATTACGACGAAATAACATAATTTTCATTTTGTTAAAACGACAGCACGAACTATGTCAGCCAATAGAAAAATTTAGACTTCAAAGACTAGTACCACCAAGAAACAATATGAAATTAAGTTATCGTATTTTACGTAAGTTTCATTTTTTTAATTACATATAAATAACGTTCAAAAGATTTTTTAAACAAATTATAAATTTACTGTAGCTCTTATTGCAATAGAAAATTCGCCTGATCGAAAAGTGTCACAAACAAGAAGAACTGTTCACGCGAAAGTAAGAATATTTATAAAGTCGAAAGTAATATATTTTTTAATATATATTGAATATTCAAAATATTGTAAATTATTGCACAGTAGAAAATAATTAACAATTCAAAGAATAAGAAGAACTTACAGTCACAGTTCCTAAATGTATTATCAAAAAGGAGAAATACATTGGATCCGAAAACCTTTGAGAACATAAGTAAATTCAGTATTCTTCTTTTATATCTTCATTTTCTGTTTTGTTACTACCTTTCCTTTTTGAAAACAGAACAATTTGTTGAACTTTTTGTAACGTGTCCTGTAGAAGACAATGAAAAATAAATATTTGTGTCAAATTATTTGGTTAAATTTTATTTATTAGAATGTTTTTTCATGTTCTAAGTATAAATTCTACAACAGAAACACCTGTATAGCAGATAGTAGCAATAATCATGCAAGGTGTGTATCAGGTAAAGGGCCAAATTTCCAGGAACTGATCAATTAACGGGCTCCAATCACACGCACGCTTTCTTCGCCAATCGTTTGTTCACTTGTTCGACGTAGCTACATATAGGATGAACTGGATGTACATACGGACTTTTTGAATCACCTTACTAACTCCGTTATTGTTAGAGATATCAACGAAGTTTTTTAAAACAATATTATATACAATATTTTATTAAAACAATATTATATACACCGCACTTCTGTGATGAAAAATATGCAAGTTAAACGCGACACCGTATGTATTACCACAGACGAGGTATAGAAGTAGACATTTCATCACATTTCATCATATGGGAGTTGGTGGCCCACCTAAACTGTAGTACCAACACCTTAAAATGCTTATGATTTTAGTGACCTCTACGTTTTGAAAACGGTGAATCTGCGGAGGGTAGTGACACTAAAATGGAAATAGGGTACGTAACCCTGAAAAGTGGGCCGCAAAAATGCATTGGATGAAATGTCTACTGCTATACCTCGTCTGTGGTATTACATTCCTTCCATGGACCTACGGATTCCTATGGATGGTTCCTATTAGGTCCATGGTTCCTTCCTTGCTGAGCAACAGAGATGGCAGATTCACTACTTTTAGTCGTTAGATTTTAATCGTTTAAACGTACTAAATCGCAATTTTTCTAATAAAATAGTATTTCTATTTAAATTAGTCGACATTTAGCAAACAATTATTTAATCTCATCAACTGTTTAAAACTCATAATGATATCCTTAGATACTGCAGCTTTCCGGTATATATTATTTGAATAAAATTCTGCCCAACTCTTCTGGCCAACAGATTTTGGGTGCGCGCACGTATGAGTGAAAAATACATACGGTGAACGAGGGGCGTTCCAGTGATCCATTAACGAACCGAAAATTATCGAGCGTCTACTGTATTTAACTAAGTTGGTAAAATCGTTTTGAAACTAGAAAATATTGTTAAGTATGAAATCTATCTTCGTCATTATTTCTGTTTTCACTGACTTGCGCATGTGAAACGTCAAGTCATATTTCGATGAGTTTATGAACGCAGTAAACAGTGTGAATTAGTGTGAATTCATCCAAAGTGACTTTTGCTTTTTGTAAAATATTAAATTAAACACACTCCAGAAATAATGGTAATACGTAGTATTAGCTTTATTTGATTCTTAGTCGATAATCGATATAAGTTACAGAATAAGTTTAACATGTATATTCAAAAAATTACCATTTTTCGTTAGTGAAAGGTTATAAAAAGAAATGTTTACAATATTCCAGAAACATTTACAATATTTACAACAAAGTACTACAGTATTTCCATAGAACAATAAATTAAAACATTAATACATTTCAGAGTTTTGGTTTGTCACCATTAATATCAAACCCTACTGTCAATGAACAGTTCAACATTCGTAATGATAACTATGGTGTGTCAAGTCCTATGGTTTCTGGGTATGAATAAATATACTATTAAGCATTAATATTTAAAAATAAGTCAAGTATATTGGTTTAATCATACTATTTCCTTATATTTTAGGTTGTCAGCAACAAGGCAAAGCATAGGTGTCTCGCATCCTTTGGAAGCTTCAGAAAAAAATGTAAAAAAATAATTTTATGAATCATGGTAATATCATTATGGTACTTTGTACAATTGTAATCCATTTCAGTTTATAAAAAACCATGACTGCATGAATATGGTAATGCTCAGAAATATACAAGGAATACATGCACCAATGCGAATAGCGATGGAATTAAAAGCTACTGAAAAGATTGGAAGACTTCCATTTCTGCCATCATCAAATGTTATGAGGGATGTTTTACTTGGTAGAGATGAAGATATAGGGTAAAAATTTGGTGTATTGATTGTGTATTAAAAACACATTACTTTTTATTATTTAACGGGTAATCATTAATTTGTAATGTTTTACTCTTTGTATTTCTAGATTTGAAGACATATTAAACACACCAGAATTTAGGGAACAAATGGGCGAACCACATGCTGTTATTGAAAAGAGTCTTGGAATATTGTAATATTTTTATTTCATATGTGAGGCATTGGCTTTGTATTATTGAATACACTAAGTAACAATAAATGTTTAACTCCTCAATTTAATATATTTTTAATAATATGTCAGTCTTATTATATGTATGACCATACCAGATCATCTATTCTATTGCTGCACATTTTTTTAACTTCTTCCATTGCAATTTGTAATTCATTCTGTCTTATATTTTGTAAACGCATTTGCATTGCTGTAAGAATTGTTTGTATTTTAATTTCATGTTCACATATTACAAATGGAAATCGAAACTTTGCTTTATATCTAAAATAACAAAACTGTAATTTATAACTGATACATAAGTTTTTATTCTGTTATCATCAAATTATCAGTATACTTTTGCTTACTTACAGACCATTGTAAGTACTTAGGATCTTCTTTTCTTCTTTTGACATAGCTTCAAGTTTAGTATTTGCTGCTCCAAATTCAGATTCTGTAGATGTTAATCCTTCTGCTAGTCTTCCTGCTAAATCTGGATATCTAAGTAATATATTTTTCTTTTCTACAGAATAGAACATTATAGGAACATAGTATAAAAGTAATATACTAATAATATTTATTATGTTCTTTTTATCAGAAATATGTAAAGTATCCAAATAATCATGAAAGGTCTTTTTGAGATTTTTGACTAATACAAATGGTCTCACAGATGCTACATATTGTGTAACATCTGGATAATGTTCCACAATATTTCCAAAAAGCCATTCAAATTGTTTAGGAGTCAGAGCATTTACTTCTGATATACTTAAAATTTCTCTTGGCCACATAACTCTTGGACGGTTTCAAAATTAAGTTAATTTGTCTTTTATAATTACCTACAATTTGTTACTAATATAAATATATATTATGCATCTATACTTTTTAAATGCAAATTAGGTAGAAATTTCAATAAAAAAGACTTGTATAAATCACTGACCATTTGTAAGTATCTTCCTGTTTCTTTTACACAGCCTAAACATCAGCAGGGGGAAGCATGCACAGAGTTCATAAGATTATCAGTAATCACTATATGTGTTTAGAAAATGATTTCTTAATAAGCTACAGGTACTTGTTGGTATATTTATTTTGGCTGTAATATTTCTATATACATAAAAATAATGGATACATAAATAGAGATTTATTTTTAATTTGAAATTCGTTATGTAAAAAAATCGATGTTATCGATACATTATCGTTTTCCTGGATGTTTTATAATCTAAAAATAAAATACAAGGTCGTTAAATTTGAAATGATATTGAATTTTATTAAAGACTTTAATTAACATTACTTTGATTAGTAGTATTAATCGTAATATGTACATGGTTTTATCTTCAACCTATAATTTTTGTAGCAAAATAAAAAGATTATAGATTATTTAAAATTTTTAATTTATAGGAAGTCGATTGATTATTTTACGCGCTATATACTTAATACATATTACTACGTACATATATTCATTTATATAAATACAACTACGTAAATGTACATTAAAATATATTATACTTTACATACATTACTACATAAATTTATTAATGAATCGCAAATTACAGCAGACATAACAGAATATATCTGCTTAAAAGAACGATAAATATTCGAATCTGTCTACCACAGACATAAAAGGTTATCGCAATTAATTTACAAGTTGTTGATAGGAGATACGAAATTGTTGTGTCGCTGGTATAATTTATGTAACTATATTTTTGACTGTGAACAACTCAACCTTTTTACGTTGCAACTTCCAAGTCATTTTGGATTTATCTACAGTAAACGTATGTAAATTTTGATTTGAATCTTAATCTTTCAATAAATAAAATGCTAAAATGTACAATATATCACGTTTACTTCTTTCATGGAATGTTCAAAAAGATGTCGAACATTAAGATTCTGGACGGTGGTTTTGCGACACAATTGTCGACTCATGTTGGTGAAAAAATTGACGGTGATCCCTTATGGACAGCCCGATTTTTAGCAACAAATCCTGATGCAGTCTATGCTACACATTTAGATTTTTTAAGAGCAGGCGCAGATATCATAGAAACTAATACATATCAAGCTTCAGTTTCCGGTTTAATGGAACATTTGTCTATAAGTGAGGAGGAAAGTAAAAATCTATTACGAGAAGCTGTTAATCTTGCCAAAAAAGCTGTCAATGATTACACTAAAGAAATATCAGGAAATGATGAAATTAACAATAAGAATCCTTTGATCGCTGCATCTTGTGGGCCTTATGGAGCTAGTTTACATGATGGTTCAGAATATAATGGAGCTTATGGTAAAATTGTATCACATGAAACTATGAAGCAATGGCACAAATCACGTATTGATGTTTTGGTAGATGCTGGTATTGACTTGTTAGCATTAGAAACTATACCTTGTTACCAAGAAGCAGAAGCTTTGGTTGAACTTTTACAAGAATATCCAAATGTGAAAGCATGGTTCTCATTTTCTTGTGAAAGAAATAGTAAAAATTTAGCAGATGGGACCAATTTTCAGGAAATAGCAACATGCTGTTATAAAACGGCTTTACCAGGGCAGATAATTGCTGTTGGTGTAAATTGTCTTGCTCCTAAGGATGTAACTCCGTTATTAAAAAATATTAACGAAGGTGGAGGAAATGAATTTATTCCATTAATAGCATACCCCAATAGTGGAGAAATATATACTCCAACAGAAGGATGGAAATGGTATGCAATTTGTGATACAGTCGAAAGTTTTATTCAAGAGTGGTTAGAACTTGGGGTTCAGTACATAGGAGGTTGCTGCAGAATGTATGCAGAAAATATAAAGTCCATAAGGAAGGAAGTAAATACTTTCAAGAAAAAGAAGCGATAATAGATTGATTGATTTTATTAGAAAATCAGTCATTTTTTCCTACTTAAATGCAGTTACTTTGTACTTCAAATAAAGTCTTCTATTCTTATTAATAAATAAGTTTACTTGGAAATATATTTATACCTTTTAGATATTATGTTACTGTCGAAAAATTTCTCCATTAGTCTATAACAATGTAATTATACACAATTATCTATAAACCATAATTCACTGACATACAATATATTGCAAGAAAGGCAACTCATTGACACTGATAAAGTTCAAAAACACTTGTAGTAGCTTGACACTTGTCAAGTGAATGATAGTTGGAAATGAATATTGACTGTACTTATCAGATTCGTGTTTGATATAATTTGAGAAGTTTAAGAAATATTAAATGTATTGGCACGTAACATGCATTAGTAATTTATCTCATGTACACCCACAACTGAGCCTGATCTCAATGATACACAAGGTCTTCGCGACGTAGGTATAAAAAGAATATAATCTTGAAATATGCCTCTTCAAAAGCTTGTTCCGTTTAGTATTTATCTGCGATTTCGTCATGGACTTTGGATTAACTGCATTCTGTGAAGCCACTTGTAGGAAGTATTGCCTCAGAAACATTCAAACAACGAAGTTGTGCGTGCATTCGAAGCAGTTAATTTTTCGTTATACTTACGCGTGCTTACGATTAAGCATATACTATCGACAGAATAATTGAAGAAAGAAATCATGCAAGCAATAAAAGTGTTGGATGGTGGATTTTCTACACAATTAGCGACGCATGTGGGTGATGTAATAGATGGTGATCCCTTATGGACAGCGCGATTTCTTGCTACAAACCCAAAGGCTATTATTTCGACACATTTGGATTTTTTAAATGCTGGCGCTGACATTATTCTTACAAATACTTATCAGGCATCTACTGATGGCTTTTTTAAACACATGAGTCTGACGGAAGAGGAGAGCCTTAATCTTTTTTGTAAAGCTGTTGATTATGCCAAAGAAGCTGTACATTTATACAAAAAAGATAGAACAGGTGAAGAAAATGTTGTAAATGACAATCCATTGATCGCTGGATCTATTGGACCATATGGTGCCTGCTTGCACGATGCTTCGGAGTATACTGGTAAATACTGCTCATCCGTGTCTGAAAAAATTCTTATAGACTGGCACAGGCCTCGCATTAGTAAATTGATTGATAGCGGCATTGACATATTAGCAATAGAAACAATACCCTGTAAACAAGAAGCAGAAGCACTGGTTACTTTGCTTAAAGAATTTCCAAATATTAAGGCTTGGTTGTCCTTTTCTTGTCGTGACGATGGACGAAGTATAGCTGACGGGTCTGACTTCCAAGATGTAGCTATACAGTGTTATAAAAAAGCTTCGCCCGGGCAAATTTTAGCAGTTGGAGTTAACTGCATTGCACCACAAAATGTGAGTCCTTTATTCAAAGGTATTAATGGAAATTGTAAAAAAGAATTTGTGCCATTGGTAGTATACCCAAACAGTGGTGAAAAATATACAGTGGAATCAGGTTGGATGAAAAAGGAAAAAGGATTTACCTTACATCAATTTATAGATGAATGGCTGAATTTGGGTGTTCGATATATAGGCGGATGTTGTAGAACGAATGTTGAAGACATAAAGAAAATACGAACAGAGGTGGAACTATGGCAAACCAAAGAAAGCTAATTTAAAACGTACTATACCTGTGAAATCTGTAAATAGTTTTATAATATGAAATGATATTACGAAGAATCAAGATATTTTATATGTATCTACATTTTTGTGTAATATTGTTTTGAATGTATAACAAATAAACAGTGTTTCATTTATAATATGAAGAATTGAAAATAAATTGTGTTAAATTATTTTATTATCATTACAAAAATTATGTATAAATATTTGTTTAAACAATTTATATTCATTTTACGAAAAAATATTATAGGTCTGATTTATACTTTAATTTTCTTCAAATTGCACTGTGTACACTAATTCATTACCAATGTCATGTACAGTTCCTTTAATGTTTACTTTAATGATTTTGTTTTCTATGTCTACATTAAAGACAGATTGAGGAGGGATTTGAGTTTTACCTTTTAAAATATCATCAGCGGCTGGTTTAGTTCTAGATCCCATAAGGGGATCACTGTAATGATATAGAGAAATAGATGATGGGTCTATAACAAAAATCATGTGGATTAATGTAAATTATAATTGGTTACTCATCTGTTAGCAAGTATCTACATACTTTTTATAAGTTTGCTTTCTTTCGATATTCGGGAGATGACATCAGCAGCAGTATCTCCATTCGTGATCTTTACAAACATACTAAATAAACCAGTACATTTTTGTGGATTAATAGCACGTACTGAAAGACCAGGTTTACTAAAAAAATTTATGTAAGGCGAGCCTGGACAACATTCTTCCTTGGTTTTTTCCGGAGCATTATCGGTATACTTTATCAGAATATTTTCCAACTATATTTAAATAAGCAGGCAATTAATGACTATACGAAACACACGATAGTATAAGATATGGGCACACTGCTTACATCCAAAGTGTTTTCAAGATATGTCTTGTTATCTTGAAGAACTTTGAATTCATCAAAATCTAAAGTCAAGTTAAGTGCATTCAATCCAAATAGTTCCATTTTTTCCCTCATAACTTGTACAAACGGCATTACTCGTTTCATATACCTCTTTAACTCCTGTAGTTTTCCTAATTCTACTGCAATAATTTTATTTTCTGGTAGTTTATTATCATTTTTCTGTAAAATAATTGAATGTAACACACTTCAAATTACATTTATAAATTATTCATAACTACTTACAAGATACAAGTTCTTCATTGTGGTTAGAACAGTGTTCTGCCAAGCAGGATAGGTTTTAGCTACCCAGACTATACCTTCCGTAGGTTTTTCTATAACTGTTACATCACTTTTTCCCTTCGGTCCCTTCTTCGGGGTCATGTAACCTTTTAAAAGAAGTCTAAACGAATGCGCAGCATCCATTAAATATTGAGACGATTTTATAAGAATCTCGTCGATTTCTCCTGTCTGTGGCCACTTAGCATTTAATATGCTACCATTCTATTAACAAATATTCATTTTATTCGAATTCTTTTTATTAAGCAATGCTGCATCAGAAATGAATACTCACTTTACCAATGAGTTTCCATACATGCTCTGATACATGTGGGCAAATAGGAGATAGAAGAATAATCTGAATTTCTATAAATTTCATAATCAATGCCCAATTTGTACCGTCCAGTGCACTCAACTGTAAATACTTGTCTCTTGCTGCTTGGAATTCAAAGAAGCCTGTTTTTAATGCTTCTTTGTACAGCATTTTCGAATAATTATCTCCAGTATCGTGTATTTTTAAATTGATTTCACTAGTTAGATCATACATTTAATAATCATTTTATAAGTAATTGAAAAAAACATCTTAATAAATACCTTTCGAAAACCTTGTCATTGAATGTATGCGGTTTGCCTTGTCTAAAGGTACTCTTAGAAGCCAACACTTCTTTCACCCATTCAATGAAATTATACAGCCTAAGAATTCCAGCATCTGCCATACTTTCAACAAAGTTGGCATCCTCCACTGAATCACCAGAATCGGCTAGGCAAAGTCGCATACCATCCGCAGAAAACTTTTCTACTGCTTCAGCAAGCGTTAAAAAATTGCCTTCTGATTTCGACATCTGATGAAGTAATACTTAACATTTTTAGTGTAGATCATGATGTACAGGATGAGCCAAGGCGGCTGGTATAATCGAACAGATGGTTATTCTACATAAAGAAATAAGATGAAAATGCAAAATAAAATTTTTTCGTATAGTGCTTCGTTTCTGAGATAATCGAATTTGAAAATCTGTTGGACCCGAATGCAATTGAAAAAGGCTTAGCTGACGCGTCTGTTCATTTCCATTTATAGCCAGCACGAATACATGCGGCGTTTTAGATAAATTTAAAAATTCAAGTTTACTCGAAAACCTCAAATTCTATACTTCTGCTTTTTCTTTTTGCATAAGGAATCACTTCCTGCCAACTTTGTACCCATCCTTTCAGAGACACCCTGCATAATTCGAAATTTCATGTTACCTTAGCTGAATTCAACATTAGATGTCCATTGGCTCGTATTCCTTTCGGCCATAACTCTGGTTGCTTTGGCCACATTGCAGTATGATTGTAGATAAAGAAAGTAAGATGATTCTGAATCAGATCTTTCCCAGAAACTCTTAAATCTACTGGATACCAATATTGAAATTCACGTCGCATGTGCTGTAATGCTTCTTTCTTTATGTTTGTTTTTGGAAAGTTAGCATCCTTAAAGAAGATGTAGTCCCATACTGCTGGCGTCATATCTTCGGCTCTAAATACAGTCATCATTGTAGTACATGTTCAAACGGATATATCGGGTGTCTCGCGTTAAGTGTTGTAATTCAATTTCAAGATTTTCCTTTAACTTTACAAAAAATTGCATGAAACAACAATTGAACTATATTTAAGTGTACATAACTTTCGAAAATCAAACTTTCTTTATCTGCATTTTTCAGAGATATGGATGTTACCTTTTTTTGTTTAAATGAATCTATAGCATTTTATTTAATATATTTCATTAGAACAAAGCATGGCAAATCTAACAACTGTACATATGTTAAAAAAACAAAAATAACATATAAAAAGGCAATAGAGAAAAGACAATTGAGCATTCGATTGTCTCTGAAACGAACGCCTTGATATACCACCATGTTATACAACTTCTGTTGACTTTTAACCAATTATTTGCGTTTTTTGCAACATGTGTCCAGTTATTAATCCGTATCCATTCTTCATTTTTCCAACTTAATGTGTTTCTCGATGTCAAATTGGCATGGTGGTAAAAAATGAATATAAGAAGATATAATCAATTAAATTTGCAAATTTTTGGAAACAAAAGTCATGTACATAGCCTTAGCTGAATTTACCTATGTACCATTTTTTAGGAGAAAACAAAATGTGTCAAATTGACATAAGGAATGGATAAACTTTAAATTTGCCATAAATTTAAATGAATATTTGATAAAAGAACCAAAAGGGAACATTCACATTTCCGAAAAAACGGCAGACAAAAAAAATCTAATTTAGGAAAGTTATGCACCCATAAATGTGGTTCAACTTTTCCGTAATACAATTTTTTGTAAGGTTTAGATAAAGTCCTGAAATTTCGTAACAATCCTTACGTGTAAACATTTTATACTTTACTTGATGCTATATGCATTTGGTTTGTTGCCTTTGAATGTTCCTCCTTGCAATAAATGTGCTACAGTGTAATAGGCCATGTAGATGGTTGAATCTGAGAGGGATTCGATTAACCAGCTTTCATCCCATGGCAATTTCGTACCTGAAATTTATAATCACTAAAATGGACCAACAGGATTATTAAATATTCTTCACAAAACTACAAAAAAATTACCAAGCCCATAAGTTCTTGAGCATGCATGTTCATGTAACCAATCCAGGCACGCAATAAAGTTCTTCCTTACTTCATCGTGGAAAGTACTCAGATTATTTAATCCTTCTATAGCATCCATTTTCCAACATTTTTCGCCATAATCCAAATACCATTGATTACATAGAGCTACGATGCATTCATCATTTGATCTGGACATAACATTTTTCTCAGGTTCGTAATATATCACGGCTTTCCTCTCATTTATTAACTCTTTTTGTATTTCTTTTTTGACATCCTGAATTTTCTTTCCTTTGTATTTACCAACCAGTAGCACACCATCATAGAAACCTTTAAGATACACCATCTCCTTTGCTTCCAATAATTTATCTTTATCATTTTGCGATTGTATTTTCAATTTATCATATACAGTTACTGCAGATAAATTACCAAATTCTGGTATTTCAATGATAGGTATAGGATCATAAGGTAACACCATTTCATCAGTTATCCCATATTTTTCTCTGAAAGGCTGTTTTTTCTTTAGATCTACTAAAGCTGCGTAGTCATCGGGAGAATCGCTTGGTACGGACGTAACAACCCCAGTTCCTTTGTCTTCCTTAATAGTCAACATTGGTAAAGTATAAATTACTTTGTTTGTTGTAAGAGGTGCTTCAATGGGCAATCCTAATATATCTTGTCCAGTAAGTTTTAATGCAATCGATATCTTCCCTTCGTCTTTGAAGAAATCTTGATAAGCCATGTTTCTTGCTGCTCTTTCTGTTGATATATAGATATCTCCATTCGATAAGGTATAGGCAATATAATTTATGTCTGGATGAATCCAGCAGTTTGTTTGACCGTACATTGTTTCTGGTCTCAGAGTTGCAGCAACTAAATAAACTGGTTTCCCACAAAGAGCCTTCAGGCTTGTAGGATAAGGTTCTCGCAGTTTCATTTTAATCAATGTGTACTCTTGAGGACCCACTCCTTCTCCTGAAGATCTATCATGATCCATACAAGGCTGGCCATCCTTTGGTGAATAGATGGTATACCTTTTCCCATATTTCACCTTGTTTCTAGCTTTCAAATGCTGAAATTGCCAGCGAACAAATGAATCGAAAAATGGATTTGCATCTGTTGTAATAAATGTTCTACGCCAATCCACCTAAATAAAAAATTTATATTGTTTCTTTGAGTCACTGAATCTACATATATTGAAAAATACAAGGTACTCTTGTTTAACTTAAGGTAAATGTTTACTTTAGGGACTTTTCCCAATTTTGGCTATTACAATACAATTTTTATTTTTAGAAAGCTTCATTTTATCACTAAAACGAGAAATCAGTTGGGGAGGTCGGAAAAATAATACAGTTCTTATCATTTTAAAACATTTTTTACCTTATTGTAAGGTAAGCAGATTTTTTTTTGGAAATGTAAGAGCGATGGATTTCAACTTCCTCCGACTGATTTCTCGTTCTAATGATAAAAAATTAAGCTTTTAAAAAGAAAATGTAGTGAAATAACCAAAATTGAGAACAGTGCTAAAGTAAAGAATTACCCAACTTACATGTAATCCAATCGACTTCAAGTCTTGCACAGCAAGAGGTGGAAAATAGTCTAACCAATATGCGGCATCAGCAAAATTTGCTATGTCCTCATGTTTCAGACCCAGTGTTTGCATAATTTGCCACTGATACTTTGCAGTAGCTGTTTTTGCAACTGCTTTACTCTAAAATCATGCACTTATTAAAATATAAAATACATAGATACTTTGTACAGGATGTTTTATGTAAATTTATCACCTGGAATATTTATGCTATATTTAAAGTTTCATAAGTGTTTTTAACAAAAGTTGCATAGTTTTGTAGGGGTCAGCGTATAGTAGCAATAGTTTTATGTTATTGGGAGGAGATAATGAGATATGAAGCTGACTTTGTTTTTTTAAATGGAATGCCGTAATTTTTTGTCGGTATCCGATAGGCACGTTAAAGACACATTCAACCAACCTACAATCCATAAAAATAAGTCTCTCAAGGTTGCTAAAAATTATACAAACAATATTGCTAACAAGTGAAATATTCTAAAAGGTCGAAGATTAAATAAAATGTTGCATCACAGTGGTACTAAAAATTGGACAGAAAATTTGGTCTGTACGATCTTCAGAGACTTTGAAAAACTTATTGTTGTAGGTCATTGAATTCATGCTTAAAGTAGCTATTGGAAATCAATAAAAAATGATGGCATTCCATTTAAGAAAAAGGAGTCCTTCGTATCTGATTAACCTCTCCTAACAGAATAAAACTACTGTTACCAGACGCTGGTTCCTTCGCTATGCAACTATTGCAGGAAAAATTTTTATGAAATTCAAATATGGCAGAAATATTTTCAATGAGTGATGAGCAACCATATTACAAATTACAGTGGAGCCCGGTTATTTTGACACCATTTATAACAGCAGACCACTGTTCTTTACTATATTTTTTATATATTTTTTCATTCTATTTATAACAACATTCGTTTATAGCAACATAATTTCTCTGTCCCTTGAATGTCGCTATAAACGGACTCCACTGTATATTATAATTATATTATTATAAATTAGGTTCTCTAAGGTTGCAGTTGCAGCAGTCTGTATGGATTGTAGAATTTTCAATTTTGGTATGCTACAAAGAAAAAGTTGTTCATCACTGTTTTAAGTGACAAAGTTAGGTGAAACACCCTGTATATTTTACATTACCTTTGTGCCCTTGCTCTTATCTTTCATTACTATGTCATCTATGACTTCTTCTTTCATCTCTTCTTCATCAGGAAACTGTGGTGGATATCCATATAATTCTATTTCCCTCTTTAATTTGTCTGCACATGCTTTGATGGGCATACCAGTACAATGAAAACCAAATGGAAAGAGTACTTTCTTTCCTAAAAGCCGATTATAACGAACGGCAAACTAAAGCAGATTGTATATATTAATTTTAATTGACATGACATGTAGTGGATTATATGTAATATTCTTCATATAGTTCCATTAAATATTTACCTCACACTTTGATAACGAAAATATATGTCCAAGATGAAGTCTTCCATTCATGTAAGGAAAAGGAAAAGTTGCAAAAAATTTTTCATCTGGAGATTTCCTAACTCCCACAGGTGCATCCTCTTCATATACTTTCTCATCTTCCCACTTTGCTTGTACATCTTTCTCAATTTTCTGAAGATATTCTACCTTAAATGTTCCTTTCCTTTCTGTTACCTAATAATAAATAATTTACATATTGTTACAATCCCGTGCTTACAGTCCTCGTAATAATGTTTTTAAAATATTTAACAATAAATATTGTTGGGACGAAGCAATAACTTCAATAGAATATACACCTTTATGTTTAGTAACTGTTAACTGACAGTCACTCAGAACATATTGGACTCTATTCAATACAACTGTTAAAAATTGCCGGTATGAAGGTTATTTACGTTAATGTATTGAATACAGGTAAAATTTGTATTGAAGAAACTGATACAGAATAAGTATTATTTTTCAAATAGTTAAATTTATAATAATCACCATTTTGTTAATAGCAACAACTCATAAGTTGGTGGAATATTGCAGGTATAAACAAGAGGTAACTACGTGCTGACGTTGACTGACGTAAACTATTTGCAAGCCTGTAAGACAAGACCCATCAAACCACTCGTGCTGCACGAGTCGTACATGCGGGCTTGCATCATCAATATATCAAAGTAACCCAGTCTGCGCATGAACAATACATGATGCAATGCCAAAGAAATATTGGCATAGGTAATGGTAGGGGTGAGATTTACATGGGTTTTACCTGGTTCCTGGTTCTATATATATACCTGAAATTATGAACTCGGAACAGGACGGCGAAATTTGGGCGAAATTGGACAAAATGTTGATCTCGATACAACTTCCGTATATATTGTTCAGGATCCCGAAAATTTCCACGGGCGATAAACACGAACGACTTGGGATGATTCGCACATCCTTAATCCTTACTTATTTAGTAATGCGAAGTTTCATTCAGACATAAAATAAATTTAATTCTCGTTCGTCGTCGTGTTCCTATGGGTGGGCCACCGGTGACCCGTTGGTAACCACAGTTATCAAACTTTTTATACAGCGATAAAGCGTTTAATGTTGTATGAATACCGATACACAGATGTACGTAAAAAGTGAAAGCAATAATTTTATTATGCAACTCTTTACAAAGAATGTACTGTTTTTATTCTTGTCTTACAATTTGTATAAATATGTTCACGTTCACATACGCGCAACTGGTTTCAAACCAAGGATCGAAAAGCATTTTTCCATGACAATTGCAGTAGCTTCTGTTAATAACATACGACCTATATTTATATTCACTACATCACCATGTTCATTTTTTTCTACACAGTAACAATTATCATAAAACTCAGAAAATGCACATGAAATTTCATAACAATACTCGCATAACTGATGCAAGTACAAATCTTTTGTGATTTTAATTAAAACATCCGGGAATTTTATTAATACTTTGGCTAATTTCCATTCCTTCTCATGCTCTAGTGATATTGGTGTGCTTTGTGCAAGTTCTTGCAACTTTTCTTGTGAAATATTAGCTGCTCTTGCAATAGAGCGTATTCTAGTAAGGGCATATAATAAGTATACCGCAGTATTCCCTTTATCCTCCAACATCTTATCAAAAGAAAACACATATTCGTGATTTCTATTATGTGACAAATCTGCATACTTTATACATCCATAAGCAACAGATTCCTGAGCATTCTTTAATTCCTCTTTTGTGAGCACTTTGTCGCGTTCCTTTTCTTTTAATTTTTGAAGTGCCCTTTTCAAACCTGAACAAGTATGAATTATTTAGAATACAAGCCAACTGGAATGTTATATTTAATAATATATACAAAATTTACCTTCGTCTAATAAATCATTTAATTTTACTGTATCACCAGATCTAGTCTTAAATTTCTTTTTATCTTGACCAAGAACCACACCGAAACCAATATGGTCAATTCTATGACTACTATTTATAATGCCTGCTCTTTCTGCACAGTTCTTTAATACTTGAAAATGTATAGATTGACCAGCATCCGTTACATATATTACCTGCAAATGTAATTTATTGTTTAATTGCACCCAAGAATTATAGGTATCAAATTAAGTGTTACCCAATCAGCTTTTTCTTCTTCTACACGTTGTTTCAGAGCTGCTAAATCTGAGGTGTCATATGTAAAACCACCGTCAGATTTTACAATAGTTAAAGGTATTGCATTTTCACATTTACTCCACATTACTTTCCGTCCTTCATCTTCTTCTAGTAATCCTCTTGACTCTAGTTCTTTAACTAAAGTTTCCATGTGCTTCTGATAATAAGATTCTCCCCTTTCTATTAACTTAATATCCAATCGTTCATATACCTTTTCAAACTCTGTATATAAAGAACAATAAAACGCACTATGACAATAATTTATTACCAATTTAATTTAAATTATAGAAATATTACCTTTTCTAGAAACATTGCAAATCAGTTGCCACGCTTTTGTCATATTTGGATCAAACGCTTGTAACTGAACAACACACTTATAAGCACGTTTTTTAAACTCTTCATCTGCATCAAACCTTTCTTTTGATTCTTTATAAAAACTCTAAAATTTCCAGAACTTTAATTCTGATGTGCTTGCTGAATAGAAGTATAATATAATTGTACTGCATTTAATTACCTGAAGGTCTGTAATGGAAGGAGATACAGTCAAATAATTAGGAAATCTGTCCTGTAGATGAGCTATCAACATTCCAAACTGGGTACCCCAATCGCCAACATGATTTAATCTCAACACATCATGTCCTAAGAATTCCAGTAGTCTTGAAATACTATCACCAATTATAGTAGATCTCAAGTGTCCAACATGCATCTCTTTAGCAATGTTTGGACTAGAAAAATCTACTATAACTTTTTGTTTTTTAGTATACGGTGGAAAAGCTTCTCCAGTTTTTACTAAATTACATAATGTTGTCTGTGCAAATTCTCGCTTTAAAAATATATTTATGAAACCTGCACCTGCCACTTCCAGCTTAGAAACCAAATTGGATTCCTCTACTTTGGACATTATATTGTTTGCAACGTCTCTTGCAGATATTTTACTTCCTAGACAGATATACATAATAAAGTAGTAACATAAAAAATATACCTGAACCCCAGAGCCAAAGTGTATTAAGCCTACTTTTTTTAAAAATGACATTTTGCACGTTTCCTGTATCAAATATAAAAATTATTTATTCTAAGTTGTCTAGTTTTTAATATAATAGTCTGAAAATGATATGAAGTTTATATTTTGTTCCGAGCCAAGCAGTGTAAAGTTCATCACATAGGAGAATTAATGCAAAGTTGCACCATTTTTATATAGAGAGACTTGTCTTAAATTTATTCAATAGTTCAGAGGTAGAAATTGTTTCTCGCTCAATTCTTACCGAACATTTCCAACTTTACAAGGTCTCAGCATCTTTCATTTGTTCTCCCCTAAAGTTTGAAAAGTGTAACTTAATACATTCTGGCTCCGGGGTCTAGATATTAATATGTATAATATACTTATATTGAGTCATACCACTGTTGCTAAGTATTTTTGTAAGTGACATAGCACTATTACATTGATAATCCCCAAATTTTTGATTATTACTAACTGTTACAATCACTGGTGGATTAGAAACATCTGGATACGCAACAGAAATGGCTCTTTTAAACAGATCATACAAAGTATCATATATACTTATTACGTTACACACATTGGTTTTCATCTGGTTCTGTGTTTTTGCTCTATCAGTTTCAATGGTCTATATGGACATGAATAAGAAGATCATAATTTAAAACTAATTTAGAATACAATGAAATATAATATAAGTTCTGAATTCAGTTAATAGTTATGAATTGAAATATTTATAACAACATACCCTTTTTAGAATAGCTATCCTGTGTTTCAACTTGATGTTTTCCTGTTCTAGCTTCATGTATTCATCTTTAGACACAGTTTGTAACTTAGAGTTGTTGTTTATAATATTTTGTTTTAAAAATTCGATTTGCTTTTTTAAAGCTGCTATCTCCATTTCCTGTAATCGTTAAATATGAAAATTATAACCTACAGGTGTTGCAACTTTTAGTTGAATATTTTAACAGTAATAAAAAAATAATTATATAGTTTACCGCTTCCGCTGCTCTTTTGTGAAAAATTTCTAAATTCGGTCCAGACATTGTAATAGAAATGTATAATATATATATTCAATATATATGTATGATCTCTCCTCGGACGTATGTGTATGTATGTATATATTTACACACATACAAAAGTATGACACGTGGATGCTTCAAAATCTCCAAGTTGATAGAATGCAGACAACAATTAAGATTCTGTTACATGATTGCAATAGATTAAAAATTTAATCATCCCAGTTAGCCAAATCTGCAAAGCCAAATTTTGTCCAATGCCTGTTATAAGGTTGTTACGGCTACAAGTTGGATGCAAGAATTTGCTATATCAAATTGAGGGCAAAACAAGAACAGATTTACGCAAACTAATTTGCTGCATATGTTGCTGCCAATTTGCTGCCAATGTACGTGCAAGTTGTTTATAGCAAATCTTGCATCAAACTTGTAGCCGTAACTTTATAACAAGCATTGGACAAAATTTGGCTGACTGGGCAGTCTAATTACAATTAAGTATAATATTAATTTTTAATATGAAATTAAAAATTGACATTGAGTCCTTAGAGATGATCTATAAATTAATCAATATATTTATAATATTGCTATTTATTTAAAAAATTTAACAGACAATAAATTTTTTTTATATAAGAACTCACTCCGAATAGAGAAATTTTTTAAAATAAATGAACTACACATGAATTTGTTTGAAATTGGATTTAATGGTTGTATGTACTTGTTAAAATCCTATTTTTTCAGTTATTACAAGTTATTCAAGAATTCAAATTGAAAATTCAAGTCCTTGCCACGAATCTTGTAAAAGAGAATTTGGTATATGTTTGTTCTGTTCGCAGGTACAGAAATTGAAAATTTACTTCAAGAAATCATCATGGTTTATATTTCATATTGGTTACATTATAATTTATAGGGAAAGTCAGTTGCGTCGGAAATTAGTTTCCAATGTCTGAAATTGTTTCCATTTTATTGCCTTTGCCATGGCACGCTTTACACATTCATACTGTAAATTAAGTTACGTAACTCTTGCGATCCAGATGTACACACTTTATGTAAACTGTTCTTGTACAACATATCAATTAATTTATGTACATATTAAATTACTAATAAGGCGGCGGTTGATGTTGGTAATGTTGCGGCGGTTGGCTTAAATGTCGTTGCAAATGCGTCACTAATTGAGGAGTCGGCTGTTGGCCAGCGGCATTGCCTTGTTGCTGTTGTTGCTGAACTTGTTGTTGTGCTTGCTGTTGTTGCTGTTGCATTGCAAGCATCTGTTGCCTCATGCGTTGTTGATTAATAGCCTGTTGCTGTAATCCAAACAGTAAAAATTATACATAACATAATTATTTTTCAGTATGTATATACGAGGGACATTTGAAAAGATCTCGTAAAGATCAATGTAATCCTTTTTAACATTAATGCACTTGAACGAACGATATTCTAATTTTATAAACCAACGTATTAAACACTCTTGAGAAATGTTTGAATTCGCTTCTGAACAATTGCTAGGAGACACGGCACACGACGTAAAAGTATTTTTGTTCAAGAAGCTGAATATAAAATACTATGTAGTACAAAGACTTAATACGTTACTGGTAGATAAACTAAAAATTTCAGAATTACTGATGTCATCTATACTTCATTCCAAGAATTTTTCAAATGGCTCACATACTATACATTACCTGTTGAAATTGTTGGTTCTGTTGCAAACCAACATTAGCAGTGCCCACCCCCGTTACTCCAACTGCGCCAGGTTTTCCACTACTTTGTCTATATGGTGGAGCTGGTTGATTTTGGACTCCACCTCCCATTGGACCCATCGTATTCATTGTAACATTTGGAGCCTATCCCATAGAAAAAGGTAAATTTTTATTTATTCAATAACTATTTTATTACAGTTATAGTTTCATCTACTTTGAAAAGGAACACATGGTATGTTTTGCTCGAATTTTAAATACCTACTTCCCAAAACATTTGCACAAATGTTACATTCTACTTAGTTTTTATTACAGAAAATTTCGTCATCTTTAATGACTTTGCAAGTTGTTGCGACATAACGCGGATAGACGATGGTCACATCTTCGGCCGTCAGTACGGTCAGCAAACCGTCATAAACAGGGGATTCCTGGACAGTTTCACATCACGTGCAAAACATTCACCACGCTAAGAACCATTCCTTACTGTATTTTGGCGCTGATTTCCAGGAATCCCCAGAAACAATACCTCCACTAAACCCCATTTGTTTCAACTCATATATACTACCACCTCTCTTCCACAACCTACACCAACCAAAATCCTACATTTTCCACCAATGACAAGTCGATCTGTTGCCACAAGCATCCAAGCATTCAATCATCCAACAGAACACATTCAACCATCGAACAGAACACAAGTAGTACATACATACACATACAGCACATTGTTACATTACGTTTATATGAAAGATTAAGTGTGTTACAAAATCGTATGAAAATATTCAAAACCACACATATTACCATACACCATATCACACAAACTTTCCAACGAGCTCCGCGGTATTAATTTACCAATAAGCAGTGGCAAACCGCGAACTTATCGCGAGTCGCTGCATCACCAAGTATATTACACATACTGCAACATATTTTTAGATATCCGAAACGATGTTCAAATATTTTATGTTCTTGTACTTAAAAAGTGTTCCTACAATATTTTTCTCACATTCTCAACTAAATAAATTTCAGTTTGTATAAAAAATAATGTATTTTTTTCTACTTATGTGAGGAGTACCTGAAGATAAGGCGGCCTAGCAGCTCCAGGTTGCATACGTTGTTGCGGCATATATTCCTGTCCTCGTTGAGGTCCCATCATCTGCTGTTGATTAGGGAACATCATGTTCTGCTGCTGGTTCATTAAACCTTGCTGCTGCTGTTGCTGTTGTAGCAGCTGTTGTTGTTGTTGCGCCTGCTGAGGTGCTTGCTGCTGCTGCTGCTGCGGTTGTTGTTGCGGTATCATCTGTTGTCCTCCATATCCTGCATAGTTTTGATTCATACCTGCGGAGAAAAATATATTAAGTGTAAGTAATATCTATTAACCTTCTGCGGACGAATGTCGCCAAATAAGTGGCATTATGTTTCTACTTACTGGGTCGACGACCGCCGCTATGGCGGCAGAAAATATTTTCATTATCTTTAACATCATTGTGTATATTTCCCTGCTTCCCATTAGTTTGTAATTTCTATTGCTATACCGTAAATTTTATGTACCGTTATTTTTTTTTTTACTTAATACACCACATTTTTTCCTTAACACTTAATATTCAAGTCTTCAGTACATAATCTCGTTTCATACAGAAAATATCTTCTACTCGCAAGTATACTTCAAAAAGGACTCGTACGCAAAGTGTTAATTACTTAAGATATGATAAATTAGTTACCTTGTTGCATCCCAGTATAAATTCCTTGTTGCTGTGGCTGCTGTTGTTGCTGCTGTTGCGAAGGAAACATTCCTTGTTGTGGATTCATGTTCGGAGCCCCGTGTTGAGCTCTCAGTTGCTGTCTAATGAACTGCTGCCTCTGCATTCCTTGGAATGCTCCTGGACCACCGACGGGGGTAGTATTTGGTTGCTGCTGAGAGCTCATCAATTGATTCGATGGCAGTCGTAAACGCAACATGTGAGAAAGCGCCTGTTTAGACTGATTATTCATTCCCGGTCTATCGTATCTTGGTCCAACTGGGGTTGGCGGCAATTGTTGTCCATATCCATATTGCTGAGCTGGTGTGTGAGTTTGCTGATTCGCGTACCACTGCTGCTGGTGCTGCGGTGGTTGACCGGTAAACATTCCAGGTTGTTGATTGACAGGTACTTGTTGATTTCCGAAGGCCATTTGTTGTAGTTGGTTTGGTGCTTGCTATAAAATACGTAGAAGATATTAAGAAAAATGAGAAACAAAACACGTCTTGGAAAATATAAGCAAAACACGGAAAGTTACTAAATGTACCTGAATTTGCTGTGTCACTGGTGTGGTGGGAGTAGCTGCTTTATTTCTTCTGTGTCTTCTGGTTTTCATAGCTTTTCCTTTACCATTGGCTACAGCACTGCCGATTCCGCTACTACCAACGCTACCTGCTACTCTTCCAGGGGAATCGATACTCATCGGAGTGTCAGCTTTCCCAGGCTCAGATTCCTTCTTATCTGGTTCCAGATCTTCCGGAGGCAATGGTGGCGCATCCAAGTAGTGACTAGGTGTTCTGATTTGACTATGGGTGTGGTATCGTAAAAGCTTATGAGCATTCTGATATGTCAGAGGTTTCCGTTCTAGTCTGACTGCTCTGAACCAAGCCCAGGATATAGGTGCTGGATTCTTGTGTCCTTCTAGCACTTCCCATGCAGATACTCTTTGCGAATCACATACTTGTAAACCCTAATAAATTACAAATTAAACGAGTTTTCTTTTTAAATTATACGTCAAATACTTCAGACATACTTCAACGTTACCTGTTTCTTATCGATGCTATCGAAACCAGCTATTTTATTGCCCTTCGTGTCTGTTAAACATCCAACTGGTTCGCAGGTTATAACTTCCATCGTCAGTTTTGGTAGCGGTAACAATTGTCTAACATATCGAATACTTGGAGAATTTCGATCGCCCAGTTCCTTCTTCAATTTCTTCATTAGATTTTGGTAATGTTTCTTATTTTCATCTTTCTCGGATTGTGAATCAGAGACAAGAGTAGAATGTATCAGAGTTGCCAGCATGTCTATGACGGTTGTAAATAATTCAGAATTATTGTTTAGATCTATAACACCGTAGCTGACCAGTTGTACCAAGAGGATAGCCCAGTCTGTGGTAGCAGTGGTATTTCTTTGGATAGTATCGAAAACGCCTCCGACGAGACTGAATCTTAACTGTAGCGCATCCTGCAACACCTCCCTCGTTTTTGGATCTTCGGTAGCGAAGTTCTTCTCTTCTTTGCTGATATTCAAGAACTGCGAGAGCTGCGAGTGCAATGACATTAACAAACCTTCTCTTTGATCGTCTTGACCCTTGAGACAAGTGAGGACCAATGAAAGAAACGGCTGATGATTGAACAGAGACGGTGACTTTGATCTACCCCTTTCACGGCCGGCTGTTGTTTTCGACCAGTTACCGGATTCCAATACCTGACCCGCCACTTTCAGAACTCTGCCTTGCACAGCACTCGGCAATTTCGAAACTAGCGGCGCGACCAGCCATATAGATCCAGATCGTTTGTCCGGTTTATTAGATACGGTGTTCAATTGAAATACGTCAATCGCAGCTTTAGCGACCGTATCCAACCACTGCGACAGATCGCTAGATCCCGGAGGAAATTGCTTGTACATGAGCTGCAGATCGAGCCAGGACATCCTCAGGCTCCACTGTTCCAGATTTTCCAGGATATTTGTGATATGAGTCTTCTGATCGATAAACGCATCAGTGGAAATGTCTGGGTAACAAATCATGTGGAGCAATCGTTGAGCCTGACGAGGAGTCAACATATTGTCGAGCAACATGTCAGGATGGCAAAGCTCCTCTGGATTCTGTAGACATCTTTCCAAAACCCATTCCTGGCTACAGATTTGCCTCAGCACGTGCTGGGCGAAATCGGACAGTCCTTTGACGTTTTCCGTGGTCATACCAGCGCTACTACTAGACGATGACATGGCCAAATCCAATCCCAAATCATCACCGCCGCCTAGAATATCGCTGGTACCTAGGATATGACTGATAGACAGTTCACTTGGTCCACCTGTACTAACACCAACACCAACCACGACACTGGCTGGCCCACCTGTTTTACTCGAATGGTTCATTGGCACGTCTGGTTTCTTTGGTGGTTGTTTGCCAGCTGTTGCATCAGCGACAACAAGTATCGCTTTAAGTACTGCCAAAACTGGGCCAACCCTAATATTGTTGTGAGCAGCTGCTAGCAAGTGTCGATCGCAACTTAATTTTATACTGTAACCTCTGGAATTCCCGTTAGGTAACGGATGAGGGCTGGTGCTCACAGAGTACAGAGCTGGCTGGGGACACTCGACCGTTTTGAAAAGTCGCAAAAGCAAGTGACACGTTAATCGTGCTCCGGCTTCAGCTTCCATGTCCGCGTCCCCGCGGCCCTCGTTGCAAGCTTTAACTAAGGATGGCAGTGCTATGTGCACAACGAAGTCCTCTAGGGAAAAGCAGTGTCTCGCTACAAAAATATATCGTTATTTAAAGAAATATAGTACAATCTTTGTCACAGCCAGAAGAATACAAGACAATTACCGATTAAGATCGAGGTGAATACAGCAAGCGAATTGTGTATGCTCAAGTCTTGCACATCAACCTGATTCAGAACATCAATGTAAAAGGCAGAGCTATTAGATGAACAGCAGAGCGCCATGAGGACTCCAAGCCATTCGGCATTAAGCGCGTTACAGCAAGCTGTTAATTCCGCGCAAGTTATCGCGATATCGTTCAGTTTGTCATTGTCTGTTTCGCTGCAAACCGCGACGATAGCGTTGCAAACGAAACTGTAACGATTCGCTGGTGTTTCGTTCAATTGTCTGGCCCATTGCGGCTCGATCTTCCCGCCACGCTTCGGGCTAGTAAAAACGTCCACCATGAACTGCGAATTGTACACGTGGCTCGATGTGGTCGGTTGCAACGTGCTGTAAAGAGCTGTTCGGATCTTGGGGTAGGCGTTACTAAACGCTTCTACGCCGTGTGGTTTGGTCTTTAATAACGAACAAGACGAATACAAATCGTAAAGATGTGCTAATACGCATCGTTCAGCCGAGCTACAATCGCTAGGATTAGACACATGCTTTACAATTTTGCACAGTAAATCAAATACAGCCGTTGTTTGTTCCGGTGACACTGAAACAATTGAACGATTACATCACTCCATGCACTCGGCTACTTAAACATAATGATAATTTATCGGTAATGCTTACATAATAAACAACAATGATATCTTCTTAATACGCCTACAACATACAGACTCAGACTGGTGGTGTAACTTCTAACGAGTTGACTATTTCGAACGGTTAATTGTGTTTCCACCTCTGGGAGCTCTTTCAGAATTTGAATACAAACATCTATCAAACCGTAAATATTCAGAGCTAGCTCCATTAGGTCGAAAAGGAAGGCTACGTGCTCCTGAACCGGCAAATAAGACGACCCAGCCAGTGCGAACGTGTTCAACATTTCAATCACTTGAGTCGCGCACTGCCACGTCACTACGTGCTGATCGAAGTAACTCAAATTTTGGAACTTCAAGGTGATCGCTTCGAAGTTGAATTCGCTACGGGAATGTTTCTTCACTTTTCCACCTTCCGCGACGTCGATGCTGAACTTCTTGCCGAACAATTTGCACACTTCCTTCGTCATCTTTTTGACAACGTGCCTAGCTTCGTCCCTAACACGGCCTACTCCGTAAAGTAGTACGTGTCGCTGATTACAGTCGTGTTGGCTGCACGTTTCGTCCTTCAAACAGATCCTTAATATTATCATCAAATTTATATATTATGTTGCCTACAGCCGGTGGAACTTTGCGTTTCAGAAACATATGCGCCCGCTAACAAAAATCGATGCAGTAAACAAGAAATATGTACATACTAACTTAAATTTGCTTATTTTGTGATTTACCAAGAAACAGTTGTAAATTTGGAGCATAATCAATTTTTGTCTATACGAATGTAAATTCAAAACATTTATTTTTAGACGAAAAAAAAGGAATGACAATGATTACCTGTGGTAATGGAAAGTGTGTCGTATATAACAAATGTCTACTATGACTGGATGGCATTTTTGAGTCCAGTCCTTCCTGTGTGCTATGCCCAGCCAGCGCATCCTCTTTAGGACTATCAGGAGCATCCATACTGTTCTGTTGATCTTCTTTAATGTGTTGCAATAGCTTGTCCAAGTCATCATCGATCTTACTATCATCGTAATCCATTGTTCTTCCATGATCTGGTACTTCTAACTTCGCCGGCTTTAAATCTATTCCCGGAAACAAGCTGTCTTCGTCAATTGGTTCTCGATTACTTGGAGTTCCTGGCTTACTGGCTGCGGGACCTAAATAAGAAAATTCGTTTTTTTTGTCTTTTTCGTTAAATAAATATTTTCAAGTCGACTAGTCGAATAATTCTCGTACCTTGTATAAGATCTCCTCTAGAGATGAGCGTGCACATGTATGCATCGTGTGAAAACACATCGTGTCTAATTAATTCTGAAAATAAGTGAACCAAATTCGTGAACTGAACTTTTGATTGAGCTGATGTATTATCTAATACCGGGGCGTCCATGTCCAAAAACTTCATAAGCAACGGTTGAAAAATTGGAAGTACAGGTGGATTCCCGTTACTACAAACACTGTCTTTATCATCGTTATCATTCGATTCACCGGTTACTTCACTCTGCCGTTTTTCAAGCAGTTTTGCCACCGCCATTGCTCTATGCTCTCCCCATCGTTCGGCACTAACAGCCCATTCGCATAAGATTTCAACCACGGCAGAGTCTTGTTGTGGATTGTATTCCGTTTTCGTATCCCGTTCATTAGTGCTATCTTTCGGCGGTGACGTGAATATCTTAACATACAGCGTGTCTAAGGAGTTGCTAGAATCCATACTATCAAAGCTATGCCTATCCAGAGCATCTAAAGCAGCCAGCACTTTAGTCGTTGTTATCCCAGCACTACTTTGCTGCCACTTATCGCATGACCATTTGCCTTCTGCAGCTTGAGACCTTGCTTGTATATTTTCTTGGGCAATTTTCAGTTGCTTTAACGTTGGATTGGTTGCACTCGCTGGTGGACAGGGTAAAGCTGTCGGAGGACAAGATAAATAGTCCAAAGGAGAACCATTTAACACAGACGGCGCCTTCCCTTCGCCGACGCTGTTCCATACCAATGCTGTTGGACACTCTAATGTGATTACCTAATAAACAAGCAATCATTATACAGCTACTAAATGGTGTGTGAACATTTTTCACATTCATAATTTATTACCTGTATAATTGTCGATAAGCTATATATCACATCTCTGTGATGTGGACACGACAAGTAGTCATTAAAAGCAGCCGTTAATGGATTTGGCGTTTGACTAGCTGTGGCAGTGTCTTTTCCACCATTAACATCGCTTTTGTTTATGGACGGACTTTGGGGATTGCCATTGGCCTCTACGTTACTACACATGTGTGCCAATTTACGACAGCATAGATATGCCAAGCGTCTAGCTAATAATTCGGACTGCACGAATTCTTCCAAGTATTGCAACGCCAATGGCAACAACAGTTTTAAAATACCATCCTCCGAAGGAGATGACTTAATTTTGTCTAATAATTCTAAAATCCATTGCAGCAATTCCTGCCTATCTAATAAACCTTCCTCAAACATATACTTTGCCAATTGCACACAATAATGCCACTGTTTCAATGCTAATTTATGCTCCTCATTCATAGTACTTCCAGACATCGTTTGATTATTGGAATTTGGTGTGGCTGGCTGGTTAGTAGTGACTCCATTGTTACTATTAGTAGTACTGTTGACAGTATTGTTACTGCTACTATTATTATTACTACTTCCAGAACCATTACCATTACAGGAGTTATTTGTAATACCATTATTACTAGTACTGTTTGTTCCATGATTATTTAAATAATAATATTCCTGTAGCTTTGAAAGTTGATCTTTTAAAAATTTAATGAGTGTTCCTGTCCATTCTAAACAAATAAACAAGGTAGGAAAATATATTAATTGATACAGATGCAATGATTCGATACTGTAATAATATTATTTTTTATATTAAAGATATAGCTGTAGATTATTAAATAATATACTTGATTACCTGTTGTTGGATCAGGTAATTGTCTTTTTTTTATTTTGGCCTCTGAAACAGCTACAGTATAAGCAGAACTAAGTTTAATGAACCATGCTGCCCTTAGCATGGGTACTTGATATTCACATAGCATCATAAATATCTCCTCTTTCTTATTGAAGTTTGGAGCTCTTTTTGCAAGTGCTATTAGCGGCTTGCAACCAGAAAGATCTTTGAACCATGCTTCAATGCCATTCTTTGTTCTTGCAGTTACAGGCCAAAAATTATCCTTTGGGTTGATCTGTTGCCTTTTTCTACCTGTATCTGGCATAGTAGAAAGCTCCTCCTTCTTCGCAAGAATTGCATTGAAGTATGCTCCCACTTTGGCAGCAGTGACATTACAATGTCTTGCAGTCCCAAATTCATCGGAAAGCTGAAGCATCGTTGAGAATCCATGTTTAACGTTTATAGAAGTGAGCTCGTCTTCTTTCTGCTTCGGTTCTTGAGGATAGACGTCAGGCGGCCCTAGTCTAGGCCGTTTCAGTGGCCGTTTCTCGTACAATATTCCCATCATGGTACAACGAAATTATCAGAATTGACAGCTGGCTATTGACATCGTTTATATATATAATTAAATAAACTGGCTACAGCGTTACGAGTTCATTTTCGTAGCCGTGTAGAAGGTGTAACCTTGGATAATAACATATTTACAATTACTCAACACCGTAAACCGTAACCAACCGTAACGCAACGACACTGTCACGACTGTCACTACCGCTACGCATTCGGATGCTTCCAGGTGGCGCGTTACTACTGAAAACTGAAACGCCTGAAACCCCTGAAACCGTGAACCGCGTGAACCTGAAAATACCACGGTTGGCACGTCCATACGACGGTACTTTTAATTATTCTGTTCATTTATCTATTTTAACAAACTTTGTACGAACCGAACGCGTATATCGATATCTATCTATCACTACAATACTGATGTTTACTATAAGTACCGCAAACTCCAGTAATCTGAAGGTATTTCTATACCCTGATAATCCAAAAACGATATTATCAGTCGGCTACATAATCGATAAATTAATGTAAACAAACGACAAAGGAACTTTCTTATTGGAATAAGTACATTGCCTTAAAAGTTTAAACCGCAAAACAGAATGTAAAAGAGTGCTGCACAATGAAACTGAATAAATTGTGTTGTTACTATTTAGAACAATTTAGAACTAGTTGGAACTGGTTGGAACGGTTGGAACTAGTGATCAGAATTACTCATCTCATAATACACCATCGAAAAAAAATAATTGTTCACACTACTCCTATTATCGCTTCAAAAACGTTACGGGAGTAACATGGCCGTCTATGTTATGATGACCTGTGGCACGGCACGGATTGCAGGGCGCTAGTCACGGACAATCACGGATTACTACTACGTGTTCCTGCTACTACTAGTCATCCGTGGCGCTAGTAATCATGGATTACAGATGAAATATTACACGTAATCGATAAACTTTTTGCTATTTGTTTGTCTAATGTAATGACATAGTTAATGCCATTATTTGAAATTTGTTGAAATCAGTTGAAATCTCAACTGATGAATTACGGTAAACTTAAAAGAATGTTAAAAACTAAAACTTTAAAATAATAGAATCAAATTAATAAGTTATTGTGTAACTTTAATCATGGATGAGAAGAAAGAAATTTTGTCCAACATTTATAATACTTTAGTACAAGTGCGATACCCTTGTATTACAACAGTGACAACTGAAAATATTGAAGAAAAAATTCTTCAAGGAGGAAATCGAATTTCTTTAATATTATATTAATATTATTAATGTAAAATGCTATTGAAAGTGATCTTCTTATTACAGAAAAATTATTGCAGTATTATTCTAACATTGGAATTTGCAATGACAAAGATTTGTTGCTGGTGTGTATTTAATCATATTCTTTTGTATGTCGAATAAAAAAAAAGTAAATTGATTCTTTTAGGGAAAGTGTACATTGCAGGAGCAGTTTCCTACTTTAAGGGTATTATTGAATTTTGCAAAGTTTATGTATATCGAATCATCCGATGGTGAATATACTAAAAAAGAATCCATTGATGATATATTGCAGGTATGAAAATAAATTTGTAAAATGTTTTTATATGTTTACAGAAGTAACATTATTTTGTCTATTTTGTGTATTAGGTATTTAGTAATGAAGATTTAAATACAATGACATCCATTATTGAGCCAAAACTGAATTATTCAGAATCTCTAAAATACTTTGATGAACTAAAAAAGTTTTTGGATGAACATCAAAATTTAAATTCAAATTCTGAATGTGAAAAAGAAGGAAATGCAAATGGAGATGAACTACAGGTAATAGTATCTAAAAAATGAATAAATTATTTCTACTGCTTGGGATAACATGATGGAATGTAAATGTTAATACAATTCCAGGGAATAAAAAAGATCAGTGAAGGTGATAGAGATTTACTGTTTGATTCAGAGAATAAAAAATTCTTAGAGGCTTTTTCAACAATTGATTCTTGGCCAACAGCAAAGGAAGAAAGTATAAATAGTCTGTATTCTATGGATTCTGATATGAAAGACATATACTCTAACTTCTCTTCTTTAATACAGGTTTCATACTTATATATTTACATTTTTAAAGCTTGTCTTTGTGTAACAGATTTTCTGAATCAATTACATTTTATTTACAGTTTTTAAAAACAAAAAATGAAATCTGTAATAGTGTTATACCGGAAGGACTAGAAAAAATGATCACACCACTAAATGAAATTATTGAAGATACTCTTATTTCTACAGAAAAAACTATGGATGTATATAGTAGACCTAGGACTTTATAAGATACCCGGGTAAATAAGAGTTACCCGAGTATGAGACAGTAAAGAACTTTGATTTGGAAGTCGATCGTAGCCGCATAGGCATACTGCACTACTTACCACTAGTGTTACACTGCAGAAACATGACTTACTCGTTCTTATCATATAATAATATGTGTTATTAGTATATAGTGCTAAGTAACGCAGTATAAGTACGCAATACATAATATGTATTATTATATGATTATAATTATTATTTTAATTTCAGAGAAATAAGCAAAAATGGAAAATGCGAATAATTATAATAATATGTATTATTATATGATTATAATTATTATTTTTATTGTTGTAATATCATTTTCAGTTTTTCTTAGTTTATTCCGGTCATTGCCGATTTCGATCGAAAATGGTCGAAATACGATCGACTCCTGAATCGAGATTCTCGGCTGTCTCATTAATTCGGATATTTCATGCATACCCGGGTACCCGGGTAAAAGTAATAGCCCTAGTATGTATGGATAATTATTAATATTGTTTGAAGTTACTATTTTTGTATTTTTATAAAATAAAATTATTTACATTCAATCGGGTAAACAAACTATGCAGGGTGATTATCTCTGGGCGGTTCTTTAAAGAACCGCTGCGATCTGTCAATGATGCAGGTGTCACATGTGCACATACACGCGTGCGCACGCTCATGGCGGTTCTCTATAGCGGTTCTTTATAGCGGCACGGTTTTGTTTGCGAAACAAGAGAATCACCCTGTACTTTCTTTGAAATTGTAGTGGAGGTATTAAAAAAAACCCTAATAGTTTTTAAAAAGTGTTTATAGATGTAATTAGAAATACATGACAATGGGTTTACGACCTGGGTCGTTCTTTCTTTTCCTTGTAAAGTGCAAGTAAAGACACATTAGCAACTTTTACAACTTTAAATCGGACTCCTGGAATGTCACCAACAGCATGACCTTTACGACCGAATCCTGCCACCAAAACTTCGTCGTTTTCCTCGATGTTATTCAAACAACCATCCCTAGGTACGAAAGCTGTGATCTTTTTGCCATTTTTGATAAGCTGTACCCTGACACATTTACGAATAGCAGAATTTGGCTGTTTAGCTTCTACACCTCTGTAAAATAAAATGAATGACAATTTGAGTACTAGCATAAAACAATGCACAAATACTAATAACTTGTAAACATACACTTTTTCTAAAACAATGCCTTTGGCATGGGATGCACCACCAAAAGGATTAGCCTTCCATCTTGTTCCCAGGTGAGCCTTTTTGTAGTCTTTGTCGTTCCAGCGTTGGTCACGCCTGTGATTCACGTGTTTACGTGCTGTACGAAGACCACGAGGTTTACCTATAAGATGGTTTTAAATGGTTAGGATATATATTAATCTTGTTTCATTATTTCATTACTTTCTTCCGCAATCTTAATATATCATATATACGTACCTCAACGGTACATTGTATAATGATAAAGATATTTTATTTGTAAAGTAAAAAATAAGATGTTACGAATAAGATTTCTTGCATGTCCGTAGTATTCATACGCACCACGTTATCTTTCATGCAGTTAAAACTGTATCATTTATAAGTTTGTTATTGTATATTTAATGAAATTATTGTTCAATATATCAAAAGGAATTATTAGAACATCACACATCTTAAAATTTATATTTAATATCTGTAAAAACAATATAATTTCAAGATTGATTACATACCCATCTTGCTCGGTGTGCTATACGACCGGAAGAGACCTAACCTCCATAAACGGAAGTCTGATTACATCACGTTTTGCCGCTGCATTTAAAAAGAGAACACGCTAAACGTGTAAAAAGTTACTAGATTTTTTAAAAATGTCCCATAAAGATTTTAACGAAACAGAATTTTTTAGTTATACCAGGTTATACTTATCTATAGATTTCGACATTATGTTACTAATGTTATATTTTATTGAGTATATAAGAACTTTAATTTAAATCGATATCGATTTAAGATATGTATTTTAAACTCTAAAAAAGATTGCATACTCTATGAAATGTTATTATTTATTTATACAGCGAAGTTAAAATTATAATATGTGCGAGATTTTGATCAAAAGAAGTATACAAAAATGAAATATGAAACGATTTTATTTATGTGATACGCTGTACAAAATTTACATAATTTAATAATTGTTTATTTTATATACAATCAATAGAATACAAAGGGCGGAGATATCGAGTCTCAATATAAAAGATATGTAGTTCCTTGATTGTTATTTTAAAAAAGATTGGATTTTGGTATAATAAATTATAAGTGGAAATCAGTAGTATAAAATATTATGCTTAAATGTTGCAAAAATAGAAATAATTATAATTAAACTTAAACTATCTTTTATTTAGCTAAACTTATACTAGTCCCTATACTAATTCTTACTCAGGTTCCGCCAGTCTATTTAAAACAAAAGAAGTTGTTAGTATTTGTTACAACAAGAGACTAAAAAAGTATTGTTTAAATATACCTCTGTTTCTTTACCAGTTTATCACTATCTTCAGTGTTATAATCAAATAAGGGTCGATTCAGCTGGAAAGTATAACTATTTAAAAACGAAAGTAATGCTTAAACTATTTAGAGGATAAGTACACTTACATTTTTTAAATCTTTGTTCTGACAAAGTTCAGGATTACAACCGCAATTACCGCATATAACTTTATTCTTCCGACAAGAACAAACCCGAGTTGCACATTTTGTTTTGCAACCACATTTTATTTCTTCATCCGATGTTCGTTTCAGTGTAGACCGCTCAGCGGAAATATCTTTTGTTGTGTTCTAAAAATAAGTGAAATAACACTGAAATATTTTTCACAGTATAAGAAAATTTCATAAAACGAAGTAAGCCAATAAGTTTCTTTATGACGTTCATTCGTGAAACTTTGATAAAAATGAAGTTTTATATACATCGCGATTGATTCATGATGTAGTGGAAACGGTGATGTGAATAAAGGGATGGACAAAGTACGTTTATCGGGAAGAAATTAGGACTATTACTTTTACCCGGGCATACATGAGATATCCGAATAATGAGAATTTCAATTCGGTTATTTGGTTATACTTTTATATCCATTGTATTTCGACCATTTTCAATCGATATCTGTAATAACTGGAATAAACTGAAAATTATATTACAATAATAAAGATAATAATTATAATCATATAATAATATATATTATTATATTGTAGTATAATTATTCAATCGAGGCCGCGTATACTGCGTTACTTTGCACTATATATTAACAAGACATATTAGTATATTATTATATTATAAGAATGAGTATGTCATGTTTTTGCAGTGTTACGCGAGTGCTAAGTAGCGCAATATGCCTACGCGGCTGCGATCGACTTCCGAATCGAAATTCTCGACTGGCTTATATATTCAAACATCTCATGGATACCCGGGTATCTCACAGGTACCCGAGTATCTTATAAAGTCACAGCTCTAGAAGGAATATTGTAGTAAGCGCCGCACATTAACTTGAAGTAAGTACCAAAAGTTTACGTATTCGATTATAAAGTGGTGTTCGTATCCAATCTGGATCTCTTCTGACGTCGTCTTCATCGTCGACAATAGTGTCATCTGCTTCAGGATTACAGTTTTCATTCATTAATTTTATATCTCGTGTCTGTCTTTTAGCTATTGATTTGGACATCTCATTTTTATTCTTGACTTCTGTTAAAACCTGCCAAAAATATATAAGAAAGTTTCTAAACTCTTCATTATAAATATCGTTTTTAAAATAAAAGAAATGTATTAACTGATTGTTCTAGACGCTGGCACTTTTCTTTAGAATGTTCTAATTCTGCTTTTAATTTCGTATTCTCCTCATCTTCAAAGTCTGAACTACGATTTGCGGTGTCCTTTAATACGAGCTGTTTTGAAAGACGTCTTTCTTTTTCTTTCACTCGATACTCATTCATTTGTGCTTGCAACAATTCATATTTTTCCTAAACCAGGAGATTTGTAAAAAAAAATTGAAACCAATAAGTCAAATATGTTGTATGAATTACAAACCAGAAGATCATTGTATTCACACGCCTTTGAGCATTGCATTTTTCTACTTTCCGCAGTCTGTTTGAATAACATTTTTACTACAGTTTTTGCTTCGTCCATCGAATGGATTTTTTGCAATCTTGTATTTACTCGGTTTTCTAAATAAATTTATTTTTAATGAACTTATTGGATTTAGATTAAAAGTTAGATTGTAGTATGTGGTATAAGTAATACTTACCCTGATCCGATTCAACTATTTTTTGTTGAAGATCTGTAATTTGTGTATTACGTAAATCTAAAAATTCAGTAAGCTCAGATATCTGTTCTATATTTGGATCAGTGCTATTCCGAAATTTCTCCAACATAGCTGCCAATGATGCTCTATCTTGCATTAATTTTTCTAACGAATATTCCGCGTCTACAGTGCTCACTAATATTTGTACCTCTTGAGTCAACCAATTTTTTATTTTATCTGTATTATTAGCTTTTTCTTTCCTCATTGTTGCTGCTCTTTTCTGCAAGTCTAGGGCGTCCTAAAGAAGACACCAAATTAATTCAGAGGCTTACGTATGTCTTTTGTTTAATTCGTACCTTTAATCTTTTGTTAACTGCAAAAGCTTCTTCCATTTTTCTTTTAAATACAATTTCCTGTTGATTATGCCACGTTTTCAAACGGGTCACTTCATTGGTTTGTTTCCTATTCTGATTCTTCAATCTATTCAATTCTTTCTCTTTAGATTCTTTCCACTTTACAAACCTATTGGATTCGCTCCGCATTTGTCGAATTAATTTCACTCTAGTCTGCTTCAATGATTTCATTTCATTAGATAACTGTCTTATCTGTTGATCTTGTTTCTCTTTTATTTTAACTATTCTATCTTGTTCCGAGATCTTGCGCTTCATGTCCGATATCTTTTTCTCCAATTCTTGGACCTTTTTCCGTCGAGATTCCGCCAACCTGTATTGAAAATGAATTAATACCACAATCGGATAATAATGGACTATAATGAAACTGAATTTCCTACTTTGAAGGAACGTTATTCGCCTGAACAGTTTGCAGTGCTAGCAACAGCTCTTCCCTTTCCATTTGAAGTGTTTTTATCTCTTGCTCCATTTCTTGTAATTCCTTTGAATAATCAATCAATTGAGACGAGTTTTTCAACAGCTGAGACATCAGACCTTCCTTAATGGCCAGTTCTTTGTTGATGTCTTGTACTTTGTCGTTTCTTTTAACTTGAAACAAAGTATGTTCTTCTTCTTTTCCATCCAAATCGTCGAGACTATCGTTATTTTCAGAGTTTAATTCATTCAAAGATGTTTGTTCCTCATTACCCTCATACATCGTAAATGTTTTTGAATCAATAGGTTCCATTCCACAGTTTATAAGCTGCTTTGATGTTTTCTTCTGATCTTTCTCGATATCTATTTAACAAACCAAAAACCACTCTTTATTAATTACATTCCTTTGTATAATAACAACAAAAACAAAACAGAAAAAAGAAGTTATGTTATTTACCAAGAATTTTTATATACAATGCTTCTATTTTTGTACGGTGATTAGCACATGCATCAGGATTTTTATCAAAATCATCTAGCAGCTCTTTGCATTGGTCTAATATCTTCATTATATCTTCCTGGATTTTTTCCCTTGCCTGTTCAACTAGTTCGGCTTTTTCTAATGTTCCTACAAATTCAATTAAATTTGTATTTAGTTTTTCAGTTAAGTCTCTAATCTTCGCTTGCAGTGACTGATTTATCTTTTCGAGTTCCTGATGTTCTGCTGGACAAGAAATCCTAACTTCTTGATCTATCAAAGCAAGCTTTAACTCTTGCACCACTTTGTTTAGCCTGTTTATTTCAGAAACTTTTGGATCTTGATTTACTACAGGTTTGTTCTTTATTTTTCGTGCTCTGTCTGCGTATCTCAATGTACTAAGAGTTTCATCCAAATTATAATCTGCTGGACTAACACATGCTATCATCAGTGTCATAGAATTACCACCAAGGGAATCTTGTAACAATCGTGTCAATTTACTGTCTCGGTATCCAACATATGACATAGAACCACCTTCTCCTAATTGAGATATAACGTTTCCTAGTGCCAATAAGCCTTTATTTATATTTACTCCTTCCTTAAATCTTTCTCCGGTTGCTTGAGTTTTTTTACTGCGTTCGGATCCAGCTAAATCCACTAGGTGGAATTTGGCTGCAGTTGCAGTATTAGGATCATCCAGTTTTTGCTGGTATATGCTTACTGTAAAAATAGCATGGCTACGACTGCTTTGGGCATTCATAGCCGTGGCACCAGTTACACGACCTAGAGATCCATGGGTCAAGCATTGTAGTGCTTCATCTGCATTTGTGACTTCTTTTTCTACTAGGCCAGAAATTTTTATATTTTTACCATCATCTCTAATATCGACAATCGATTGATTTCGTTGTTTGTCAGTCAACAGATCATATAGCTGTTCCTGATAGAGTTCCATAAATGAAACTGTAACTTTAAAACTCCAACCTTCTTTTAATTGAATCATATCAAATATGTCATGTATTGCTCGTGGGATTATTCCTGTATCCTCTGATTCCACATAGTTTGTACCCATTGAATGAGTTTTTCCACTTCCAGTTTGACCATACGCTAATATAGTTACATTATATCCTATAAAACAACATTGTATAATTATTTTATGTGACTTCACATGCATTGTGTCTGTAATTATTTATACAAGCTTACCTTGGAAAATATTTCCTACCATCCCTTTAATGGCTGTTTTATAAAACTCCTCTTGACCAATATTAGAAGGAAAGACATAATTAAATGTGAAAGCTTTATCTGTATTGCGTATAACAATTTGTGGTTCACCAGGAACTACTTCTAAACATGGTTGGCAACCTTTTTCTATTTCTGTTTGTACCAAAGGACGAACACGCACAGCAACACGAACTGTATCTTCACTCATCTACAAACATTTTTCACTCATTCAAAATCTACAATATGCGTTTATTGAAAATAAACTGTATAAGAAGAGCACAATAAAAATAATGATATACAAAATAATTTTTTCATTTGAATTTGACATTATTATTAAAAAATGCTGAATGTACTAATGTACAAAATAATTGGGTTGTTGCACATGAACTGACCATTTTATTATTGATACATGGTATTATCATTAAATAGTAGTTCTTATCAGAAGTTTAGATGTATCTTTGTGAAGTTTGTTTATGAACTGAGTTTAAAATGTCCATCATTCAAAGTATATATATAGACAGAATGGACGAATTTAATTGAAACATTTTAGTATTTAACACATTTGATTTTGTTGTTAGGCAAATAGTCCTTAAAACAAGTAGGGTATACTGTGTACTGTTGCAATACATAAAAGTAATATCAAATATACTTATCAGCAAAATCAGTCATTTCGTGTCCAACGGCCGAATAATAAAATTGTTGTACATATGCTTTACAATTTCTTACTTTAATCTATTTAGTATAACACAGTTATTAACAACAATGTTTTATGAAAAACATTAATAACGGACAATAATTACATTTAAAACTTTTCCTTTAGATGAAAGAGCAAACTGGAACAAGCTTGGGTAACGGGTAACGGTCGCAATTAATTTCAAATTGCTTCTGTATAGAAGAGTACGTACATGCTTTGACGACAACTTCAAGGTGCATATCTGTAGTACCGTTTACTGCCGTCAGAGCTGCTGCCATTTACAACAGTTTACACAAGTACCACTTCCAACCATGAACATAGGAATATATTCCTATGTCCATGCTTCCAACAGCTGCACAAGTCTGCACTGCCTTTTTTTTTTCTTTTCTTTACGCGGGGGAAATGCATTATGCACACCTCGAAGTCCTGGGGTGGGACTCCGAGGTAGTGTGGGACTCTCACCCACTAAAATCCCCGCGGCAACCTACTCGGGCGGAACTCGGTGGTGGCGGGATCTCGTGTGAACGCACCGCCACCACCGCGCCTATGCTCCCCTTATCGCGGAGCCCGTTCCGTGGGGGCGATCAAACGCCCCCCAGAGGTGACCACTACACTGGTCACCCCCACTACTCTACTCCGCCGGCGTCAGAGGACTGCACTCTGACGTCGGCACTACCGGGCCGCTTTGGATGCAGTCAGGGACCCTAACGCCGTTATGTATTGGGCGTACGCAGGTTTGTTCGTGTTGAATTGTTTTTGCCGACTTGAACGACCTTCCTCCTTGAACGACCCAAACACCGGATGGTACCGCCTGGTACGGTGTACACGGCTAGGTCAATAAACTGTGTGACGCCTCGTTGGACCGACCGAGAGCACCGATACTTTGTGCTAATAATACTCAGAATTCATGCTTTATCGGTAACGTCGGGTATTGACACTAAAATGGTAACAGGGCTACGTAGCCCTATGAACGTGGGACAGAAAAAAGCATTGGATGATAGGTCTATTCTATACCTAGTCGGTGGTTAGGGGTACAATAGACAAAAATGGACGTTTATAGTTAGGGACCCTAACAGCTGCAGTCCAGTTGTTAGTGATGGGCACCATCGACTAAATAAAACTATCGACTAACGACTATTTAGTCGCAACATACTATCGACTATTTAGTCGATAGTTCTTAGTCGACTGAAATTATGCTTTAGTGGTTATGTATAGATTATATCGTTAAATTTTCATGACACCATTGGTGTATTTACCTTTTGGAAATTTATTAAGAAAAAATATAAGTGGTAAACAAGTTTTTTTAAACAATTACTAATATTCCATTTTTCGTAAGCTATTTGATATTGGCACTTAAAAAATTAACTGCACTACATTTTTTGTGAAAATCAATTAGGTTATAAGCAATAATTTGCACAGTTCTGGGAAAAATTCTTTAAAATCAAATAAGTATTGTCACAATAGCAGGTATTTAAAATTATGGGATTGTTTAATTTTTTCTAGGGTCTATTATTGTAGCTGTTGATGTAATTTTATTTGTTTCTATGTATTCAAATCTAATATCAATATTGTTTAACAGGTTATTTTTTTAGTGCAAGGCCAGGCATTGTCACAGATGTAATATTTTGGATGGCGTTTCCAATTCCTCTTATTAATGGCATGATTTTTGAAGATGTAGAATATTTCTCAGCACACAACTCTACAGTTACATATTCTATTGGTTTCAATAACAGTATTATGTCTTCTATAATATCCAATTGTTCTGATGTAAGGATTGTAGGACATCTGGATAGTGATACCACAGTTGCCGATAAGGGACTTCAAGCACTTGAAAAGCAAACGTTGACGAAAAGAAAAGGGCTTTTCCGGACAGAAGAATCGTTCTTCTCAGCTGGCAAGCATCGAAACCTTTTTGTAAAATTATCGATTCAACATTAATAGTTACGACTTATTTATTTGCATTTTTATCGTTTTTTCTTACAATAATATTACTAATATCAATTAATATTACATAATATTAATGTATCAATATTAATAATAAACGTATTAATATTATGTATAATAAACAGTAAAATATAATATATATAAATCTTCGTAAAAGAATTAAAGAACGAATCTTTTATTTTCGTTAGTAATACTAGCCCACCCCTGCTTCCTGTAATGTTTAGAGTTTTAGATGTTTACATTATCAAGTGACAGATTCGAATTCTGAGATAATACGTTCTAGTTGGTTCGTCTTCTTTCTTAGTAATACTTAAAATTTCTTATTAATATAAAAGAGGCATGAAAGTATTTGTGCACTCTAAACAATTAAATAAACTTTTTAAAATTAACGATCTGACTTTTTCGAAGAAATTTAAACGATTAGTTTACAAGGTAATGCATACAAAAATATATGGAAAAATTACAATTCGTTTGCATCGCGAAAAAAATAATCAAGATCCAGTCAATAGCGATCAATAGCTCGATAGTTCCAGCGAGTCGCTTGAAGCGACTAAATTTAATCGACTAAAGTAGTCGCTTCAAGCGAATAATATTAGTCGCCTGAAAGTAATCGCTTCAAGCGACTAACATTATTCGTCTGAAGTTAGTCGCTTCAAGTGACAAAAGTAGTCGACGATTAAAAAAATTAGTCGACTAAAAGTAGTCGTTGGTTACTATCGACTTAGTCGATAGTTTTTAGTCGATAGTGCCCATCACTACCAGTTGTTCATTCAGTGGTGTATTAAAAACGTTACCTAATAATTCCGCGTTTCCAAGTAGCATGGCATAGTGGAACCAAAAGTATTGAAAACTATTTATAACACGTCACTGAGAAAGTATATCATAAATTTGTAATAATTAACAAATAATAAGTCCATATTGGATTGGTTTCGGATATTTACGTAAAATAGTTTACAGGTTAAGAATTTATTATTTAACAGTATCAACATTTGTTTTCCTTGGATGGTCTCATGGTTTTGTTGAATTAAATTCTATTTGTAATATGAATAAATTCTACGATATCAACGTGTGATTGATCGTTTTTTCTTGTGATTTTTAAATTACCAGTGATTATGGCTGTCAGACCGTTTTTATACTTAGGTGATACTGTATGTAGATGGTGAGGCATGTTTTAATATTACAAAACTGGATTACATAAATCTGTGAACTGAATTAAATAATTACATTTTTATTTTACATTTTTAGTGTGTTTACAACAGTGCAGTTTAAACCTAAGTTTTATGCAACAACAGTATATAAACAGATTAGGCATTTCAGAAAGGTTAAAGGCAAAGCAAAAGAAATAGAAGTATCTTTTCCAAGCGAGCATGTAGAAAAGGGTCCAGTGCCCCTTTCCAGAATGATGAAACCCTTTGCCTTTACAGTTATGGTAAGCGACAGACAACATATTGACTTTGATGCAGAATAAATTGACTAGAGAAATATTAGTTTTATTTATATTGTAATAATGTGAGTGTAATACATTTTTCTTATGTCATAAGTTTCATCATTTTCATCATGTCAGTTTAGTGGAACTACATTCATTGCTGCTACTATTTGGGAATATGAGCGTATCAGAGAAAGAACCTATAGGATGGTCAACCACTATAAACAACTGGGAATACATGTTTGTATAATGAAACATACTACATAGAAAATAATACTTGTTTTTCATTATTAAAATATCAATTATATTTAGAAAGTAGGATGGAGACATGAAATGGAAGTTTGGTGGAAGAACTTAACAGAAGGGCAGAAAGTATTTGCTCCTATATGTTTTTTGAACATTATGGTGTTTCTTGCATGGCGTATTCCACAGTTACAGAAAACAATGGTACAATATTTTTGCGCTAATCCTGCATCTCGTAAGTTACATACATAATCTATAAAAATAATGTACAGCATGGTGAAAAAAAGATATTAAATTTCATAATTTTGATCAAGGTACATTATGTTGGCCAATGCTGTTGTCATCATTCTCCCATTACTCATTTTTACATTTAGCTGCTAATATGTATGTATTACACAGCTTCAGTTCTTTGGCTGTATCAGCATTGGGTAAAGAACAGTTTGTGGCACTTTATTTGACTGGTGGGGTAGTATCTAGTTTTGCAAGTAATTTATACAAAACTACATTTCGTATATATAGCCCTTCCTTAGGAGCTGTGAGTATTAATTACCATATAAGTATATAATTAACATATAACAACGTTTCTTTTGGTAATGATTACTTATTTGTAACACAGTCAGGAGCAGTAATGGCAATTCTTGGATTTGTGTGTAGCCAATTTCCAGACACATATCTTACTATTATTTTTCTTCCAATGTACAAATTTACAGCTAGCGGGGTATGTCGATACTTTGTTTGATCACACATAGTACCCTACATGAAAGATTATTATCTTTAATATAAGTATTTTTAAATAGGCAATCAAAGTCATAATGGGATTGGATATATTGGGATGTCTCATGCGGTGGCAATACTTTGATCATGCAGCTCATTTGGGTGGAGTATTATTTGGCCTGTAAGTGCATTTTATTTTAAAAAAAAGCTCCTGTTTCTTTGAGTCTGTATATTCATCTATACTTATTATAGGTTTTGGCAAGCATGGGGTAAGGAGAATATATGGCAAAAACGTGAACCAGTATTAACATTTTGGCATGAGCTCCGTGGACCGCCTAGGTCACATTGATATCTGTTTTTGTAAAAATATATAATGTGTTATTTTTATTGTAAATTGTAAAAATTACAAAAATGATCTAATGTAAACAGACCTGCGAGAAGAACAAATAAAATTGAAGATATGATGCTCTTATATCAACACTCTTTATAATTATTAAAGACACATTAGAGATTTTTGCATTTCTACTATACCAATCTTTGCTGTAGTTACATAAAAGTACAACAGTAAAAAATTTGAACTTTAAAGTCTACAACATTATGCTCTAAGATACTTTATGTGATGCTTAATGTGATCTTCAATAAATGTAGCTATAAAAAAATAACTATGATCATAGTCTTCCTGAAACCTAAGAACTAATGATAGGCCAGCATCTTTTGCAGCTGCTAACAGATTCTCTGGTAATAATTGTTCATTCTTTAAAAATGTGTCTTCCTTTCCCTGAAATTACAAGATATACATTGTACTTGTTATAATTGTTTCTGTAATTATCACACAGTCAATACCTGGTCAATTAAAATATCTAAAGGTGGGCCATTATATTTTTTAGCCAATTCTGTAGCATCCCAATCTTTCCATATAACATTTGTTTCGGTTCCACCAAGATATCCAGAAAAAGCTTTCTTACCCCATGAGCATAAAATTGGATTACTTATGGGTGCAAATGCAGAAACTGCTTTGTATAACCCAGGATTCTTTAGAGCACATATTAGAGCTCCGTGTCCACCCATGCTGTCAACAAAGTAATTGTGTTTCTGTTTATTTAAATTTAAATATTCCACATATCTAGTTTCCCTTTTTTTTACCTATGACCCATTATAGATTGTTTGTTGGGTAAAGCTGGAAATTTTTCATTGATTAAAGCTGGTAGTTCCTTAGTAACATAACTATACATTCTGTAATTTTTATTCCAAGGTTCTTTTGCTGCATCAACATAAAAACCAGCACCGGTTCCAAAATCCCAATCCTCATTTTCCCCTGGTATGTTAAGATTACGAGGGCTTGTATCAGGTGCAACTATAATCACTCCATGTTCAGAAGCATACTTTTGTGCACCAGCTTTCTGAATAAAATTAGCTTCTGTACAAGTCAGACCAGACAACCAATAGATAACTGGTACAGGTCCTTCCTCAACTTGTGGAGGAAGGAAAATTCCAAAATTCATTTTACATCCCAATTCAGAACTGTACCATAAAAATTATTTTAATAAACTTTTATTTTTATTGATAAGCATATATAAAATTATAGTACCTTTCATGAGAATAAACTTTTTGCCATCCTCCAAAAATTTTATTACTTGAAACTTCCGTAATATCAGGCATCTAAAAACATTTTATCGCGCGTTTTACAATATTTAAAATAATTCGATGCTTAAGTCTTGTTTAACAATATTTATATAATATTGTTTGTAGTGTTAAAAGGTTAGCTACCGGTAATGAAAGTGTAAAATCATCCAGAGTATTTATAGTATTTCATTTAAAAAAGAATAAGAGATATTCGTAATTTCAATTATTATTTCTTTTTGAATTGTTTTTTAATTTCGTAGCAAATTAACAAATGAAAAGTAAAGAATACTTTTACATACGAATAACTAAATATATAATACACTTACCATGTGTCGAGTTATAGAATTATACATACTTATACATATGTATGTAACGTGAATTGTAGTACGTACCGTAATAAAGTGAAAGAAGTCGTCACACGCGTCACACGTTATCAGTTAAAGTGATAATATGTTTACCAAAAACTACTTTAATTTAACGTAAGATTTGCGTTATTGGTTATTTGTGAACTGCTTTAATAACAAGAACTATATATATGTAACTTGAAATCAATTAAAAGACATTTTAATAAATAACGGACTTTGTACTGGTTTAAATAATTAATTTTCGTAACAAATAGTTTGATTAAGTTCTGAATGCTTTTTTACATCACTGTCTAATCCTTGTTTGGTTATTCTTTTTTTACATACTGATTGTAAACCTTAAAAAATACACAAAAATATAATTGTCATGAAAATTGTATTAGAAAGTTTTTTTTGTGGTACTACTGTGTACTGTTTTTACAGATTGTTGTTCGTATTTGGTAATTCTTTTGATTGAAGTTTGTGATGTGAGTGCTGAAATAATTATGATGTTGATAAGTCACATGTTAAATTGAAGTAATAATGGATTGGCTTTTTATAAACATACTTTCAAATTCAGGAATTATATTGACAACTTTTCTAATACTTTCTCTAGATGATGAAACAATGCTTCCACGATTTATAGCCTTTGGTACACATTCCACCGAATTCTTGGTGCTATAAGAGTGACTTGATATTGGTGATTGTATAGTTAATGGAATAGATGGTAACTCTATATTTTTAACAGCCAGAAGTTTCTTAATATAAGCTTCTGCTTCCACATGATGAATTGTAAATTCTGCAATATCTTGTAAAACAATAGAATTTTGTTCTTGCAGTTCACGTAGTTCTACCTCTTTCTGTATGAAAGAAAAATATTATTGATACACATTTATTCATAACAAATACCATTTATAATTTACAAACCTCTTGTATAAGTATTGTATTGTCTCCTGTAGCTACAAACTTTTGTTGAATAACTTTCTGAACATTCCTTAAACTTTTGTCTGCTCTTAATATTTTTTCTTTCTGATCATGAATGTATTGACTTAGCTCAACCAAGTACTGATTCTTATTTTCTTTTTGTTCTTGAATTTCATCGATGCGTTTTAAGACATGAGTATATTCATTTTTCATTTTCTGTCGAGATTACTTCATTATAATTATCAATGTATTTTTTATTCTACAGAATAATACAATATTCAGTATAGTATAAGGTACCTGTAAATTGTCTGTTAAGCACTGCAGTTCCATCTTTTTTTGCTTTAAACTCTCTTCTGCAGTGTATAGTTCTTCATCCAATTTTCTATGCTCCTCTAGTTCAGGTTTATTTTTCTCATCCGTAGTTAAAGTCGCTGCCTTATACTTATCATTACAAACATTTATTAGCCGTAATGTGTTCTCCATTGCTTGTATTTCAAGTTCAGTTTTCGTTATAGTTTCATCTAACTTATCGCCTTGCTCTTGCAAAAGATACCTTTCTTGTGCATTTTGAATCTTCAAATGCGTAGTATTTACAGGTGTACCATCAGGATTAGTGCCCAACATAGCTATACCATTATCGTATCTTGCCTGTAGTTGGTTTATTCGTATTTTTCTTTCAGATATAGCATTTTTTATTTCTGAAGACTCGCTACTAGCGACCCTCTTTTTAATAACAAGTGATTCTTTCTGCACATCTATTTCTGCTTTGCGTTCTTTTATGGCCTAAATAATTATAATCACACTGATAATGTAGAATTGTGTATTTATTTAATTATGATTATAATGCATTAAGAAACTTACAGCTGCTAACTCGAGTCGATACTTTTCCAAGTCATATACACTATCCCCAAGATTAGATATCATTTTTTCCATTTGTGATGCTTTAAGTCGCAAGAGACTTTCCTCTACTTGTTTTTCTTCATAACGATTTTGAGCGGATTTTAGTTGCTTCTCTCCTGCATCCATGAGAAGAACCAGATCCTGTCTCTTGTTTCGTAAATACTCTAATTCATTGTTGTCACTCGTCAGACTATTAGACATTTTTCTCATATCGTGCTAAGTAATGAAAAATCTATTAAGAATCCACGTTAAAGAATAAATTATTTAAAATTGACATACTTCTAAACTTGAGATTTGATTTTGCATCAATTTTGATACTTTCATCTTCTCATTTAAAATACCCTGCAGTTCCTCAATCTTCATCTGTTTTCTTTCTGCTTCAGATTTATCTCGCTCATGACCCCTTAGTCTATCTAATTTCATTTCAGATTTTTGTAATTCGAATTCTACTTGATAGAGGCCTTCCTTTTTTTCTTCCAATACTTTCTCATCCTTAGTGTACAATTTATCCAAATACTCGAACTTTTTTGACTCATTTTGATAATGCATATTTATAATTTTACTCTCATCTTCCAGTTTCTTCAGCTGATTTGTTACGCGTAAATTGGCGTTTTGTAATCGGTTCACTTCCTTAATCATTCCAACTTTTTTTTTCTCTTGCTCCTGAATTATATTAATTTACCATGTACTCATCGATTATATAAATTCATTAATATAAACTGTGAACTTTATTCAAACAAATACCTCAATCATATCTTCCAATTCTTTTGCTTTTTCTTTAATATTTAATTGTTGGCCGTCTATATCTTGCAACTTTGTAGTTAATTCACCCACTTGCTCGTTTAATTTCTCTATCTTCGTATATTTTTTCTGTATCTCGGTCTCTTTGCGTTTTATATCAGTTCGCACTTGTTCTACACGGTTGCTAGATTCTTTCATAATATTTTTTTGTATGATAAGCTAAAATTTACAAAGAAAAAAAGACCTTAAAGACTTCGCTCCAAAGATAATTATCTTTTATAATATTCTTTCCATTTTTCATTACTTCGTTCTCGTATATGCTCAGAGTTTCTTTCACTTTCCGTTGTTCTTCTTTCACATTGCAGAGATTTTTCTCCAATTTTTTAATCGATTCTTCAACCTGCCTATTATTTTCGTTTTGCTCCTTTAAAAATTTGTCCGATTCCTCGAGTGTGTTTCTCTTATCTTGTGTGATATCGCGAAACGTTTCGATTTCCTGTCCAGAATAACATAAAATGATTAGTATATCGTTGCGCAAAAGAAAAATGTTCGTGGGAATTAATGTACTTGATCGTACTTGATCATACTTTTAAAACACGTTGAATGTCGTCGTTTCTTTGTTGCAACATGATTACACTTTCTTTCCACTGATTGAACATTTGTTGATAGTCTGTTAACGCTTGATCGTATAGTTTACTGGTTCGATCGAGAACAATTTCAGTTTCTCGTCCTTCATTAGTTATTTTAATAATTGCCTCGCGGTATAATAGCAAATCCTTACTCAGCTTTTGTCTTCGTAGTTCCAATTCCTGTTCGGTAAAAAACATAACAATTAACATTTTTCAGAGTTGAGAGTTTCATTATCGTAAATCGTTGTATGTCTACCTTATACTCTTTCAAATCTTCCTTTAGATATTGCTCTATCAGTTGATTATTATCTTCATTTTGATTCAATGCATCTTCCCATTCCCGTAGACTTTTCTCGTCGTATTTCACTGCTTTCTTCGACGTCTCGATTTTCTTCGTCATCTTTTCCAATTCCTTTTTAATGTTCGCCACCATTTCGCTGACCTTCTTCCACTCCTTTTCGAAATCTCGCGCCTCCTGCCGTAAACTCGATTCCGTGCTGCAGCACAACCGATAATGATGATTCTTGGTTTCGAGTTGCGTCGAATGCTCGTTCAAAAGTTTCTGATTCATATCGTGTTCCGCCTTTAAGTTGTTCTGACGGTTTTTCATCATTTTAAGCCTTTCCTCCGTAAACTCGAGCTTCATGGTTAAATTTTCTTTCAATTTCATTTTCTTTTCAATCTTCCCTCGTGAACAAATATGGAAAATTAATTCATTATCATAAAATAGTACAGTGGTTTGTTATTGTGCGAATAATGTATTCATGCACTTAAGCTTAATATAATATTACGTATAATTATAGTATAATTATAATACGATATACACATGATATAATATATAGTTTTCGCAGAATGTCTTTATTTCTTTTTACGTACTACTGTGCAGAAAATGCATAATGGAAAAAGAAACAATAGCGTGCTGATAAATTGCAGAGAAACAAAACTAAACATGCCAGGTGAATGAAAATCAATGTAATGTAGCTGATTGAAATACTTCTTCTTCTAATTGTTTGTTCTCCGCGTTCGCAACCGGAATTCGAAATCCATCTTCCCATCCTAGAGCGCTCAGAATAGAGTCAATATTAATATTAATAGCCATCTTTCCTCTTATTTGCTTGTCAAATAACTTCCTGAAAGATAAATCGGCAGGCAGAGCCAAAGATTTAGCGTTCAGGGTAACGTTTATAATTCGCTGTCATGGTAACCGTACGTATATCGTATATATATATTGACAATAGCAGCGTGTAATACGTTTTATCTTCATCTTTGAAAATTCTTTTTTCTATCTCATTCTATAATAATTTCTCTATGTTGGTCTCTTTATTTATGTACTTCATTTATAGGGGTAGGTTTCGTTATAAAATGGATATAGCAAAACGCTATACTGGCTCCCACATTTATCACCAGATGGTCCCAAACGCAAACGTTATTCTATTTAAGAACTGCTTTATAGGGAAATTCTTTTGAGATACGAAGAATTTAATATTCAAATATTCCTACGTCTGAGGCAAATGTTTCCGTGGTCAATTTTTATCGATGATCTGTTCTATATAATAATATATATGAATCATAAATGAAATCGAAACTTTTTTCTATATCTTTTTCTCTTCTCTACTTAAAAATTTTTTTTAAGATCTTCGGTATTTATTTCAGATTTAATGTTTGACAAATTTCCCGCTAAAACGATCCAGTGACTTTATTAACGTTGATTAATCTCAGAGCACTCCGATTTAGTAGATAACTAGATTCAGTGAAAACTACTGAAAACGTGTTCGCTGTTTTTGACGTGAGTCAAGTGTAGAAAAATATTGGACAACAATGGCGGACGAGGAACTACCAGCGGGTTGGGAAAAACGCTTGAGCAGGTCTACCGGTATGTCAATTTGTTAGTAATAATTGACAATGTATGTAAAAATATATGTTTTGGGGACTGTTTATTTAATCTATAATCAATTTGTTCAGTGTATTCTATCTTTTTACTGCAGAGATGGCATTGTGAGGTATACGGCCGGCATTTTTTTGCCGTTAATTATTACTCTCGTTAAATGATTGCTATTATGAATATAATTGCGAAGAAATCATAATTTTGCAATTATTATATTGCCTGCTATTTCAATATTTTACAAACTTTTATATTCTGAACGATTTTATTAGAAGATATGTTTCATAGACTTAGTCCTGTAACTTGACTATTTCTAATATTAAATACCTTCTTCGCAGGGCAGCATTATTATTTAAATATTTATACTAAGGAAAGTCAATGGGATAGGCCAGACAAACCTGCAGATCCATCTGGCAGTAGCAAAGGAGATGGCCCAGAAGAAGTTCAGTGCTCTCATTTATTGGTAAAACATTCAGGTTCACGCAGGCCATCTTCTTGGCGAGAAGAAAACATCACACGAACAAAAGAAGAAGCACTAGAGCTTATTAAGTGTAAGTAGCCAATAATGATTAAGAGTATATTAATTTATCATTATAAATTTCTTTGTATTTCATGAAGTAATATATTCGGATTTAAAAACTTAGCTTACAGAGAACAAATTGTATCTGGGAAAGCAACATTTGCCGAGTTAGCTTCAAAGTATAGCGATTGTAGTTCAGCCAAACGAGGTGGGGACTTGGGACCGTTTAGTCGAGGGGCTATGCAAAAGCCTTTTGAGCAAGCAGCATTTGCCCTAAAAGTTGGCGAATTGTCATCTCCTGTGCATACGGACAGTGGTATTCATATTATCCAGCGAACAGCATAAAGAAGATTAACCTCGAATAAAGTATTGAACCCTTCTGAAAACAGTTCCCACAGTTTTGCTGATAATATGTGTTTGAAAAAATAGGCCATTTTCATACCTCTATTAAGAATCAAGTTCATTTACTCAAAGAATGAAAAGACTTTTTTCCGTATGGATGATACATATACAGATCATATTGTTTTCTGCTCCTTCAGCAACAAATTATGTATTTGTGTCTTCCAGAGATTCTAGCAGATGCGATTTATTATAGACTATTAATTGATTAATGTTTCCTTCGCGATAAAAAAAACACAAGTAAAATCAGTTTCTAAAAAGTAAAGTTGGATAAAATAGACAAGATATGCACGCTATTTTACCAGAGTTCCCTATTTTTATCTGCTGTCCTCACATTCCTTAAGTATTAGATTAATTTTATTAACTTAACATGTCAATTCGACTGTTTATAGAAAAGAATTCGTATAATTTCTGCATTGGAGTGATAAAGCAATTGAGCTTAAATTATTAAATGCATTTTTTACTAATGTTTATCCAATTGAGTTGGTAAATTTAATAAAAAGAAGATACATGTATAAATATGTACAATTGTGAAGTTGTTGCTCAACTACCGACAGATATTCGTATGATTATTTTAATCGAAAGTATTACATTTATAGACACAATAAGGGAGATATTATGCAGCTTTTATTCATACATCGTTGTTGTTAGCTCGTATACAAACATGTATGGAACTAGGCCCGTTTTTATTATATTTTTTTCATCCTCTTTTAAGCTTTCTTTGAATCTAAATGAGCTTCTGCTTCAAACAAAATGCAATACAATCCTCACGATTATAACTGACTGAAATAATTTCAATTTTTCTAGTCTGTTATGTGTATTCAAGAATTATTAATTATGTTTCTAGAGACTGAACATTCGTGCAGCATATTCTACTTACTATACTTAGGTACGTGTTATAGTTGTATTAAATGTTCCTTACAATTTAGCTCGCGATGAATATAATTTAATCAGTGTGTATGTACTTACGAAACAGTTTGTTTTTCGGCTCATATTTTGTAATTGTTAAGTTAACATTGTCGTTTCTTCGACAATGGTAACCGTGATAAATGCATTATTCTAACAGAAAAAATGCTGTACACAAACAACATACGGTGATCAAATGAAATATACGCAAAGAAACAAATTGCAACGTGGTTTTTCTGTCTCTTGTTTAGTGTAGCAAATGAGTAATCCATAGTTTTTTTTTAAATGTTGTCAATATAGCTGAAATCAAAAATATCTTTTTAATTCTCCATTATCAAGATACCACGAGTTTTTAATTTCTTTAGAAAAAAAATATTAATTTAAAAAAAATATATTAATTGATATTATTGATAAAACAGATGGTTTATTTATCTCTCAGTACGCGTACCAATTAATTCCATTAACTTTTAATTAGCTGACAGTATTGTTGAAATGAAAAACACTCTCCGAATTTTACTGCCTAATGAAAGTGGCATGGAAAGCGGACGAACAACTAGTAAATGTTGTTAGCATGGTAAAGTTTCAATTTCTTTAAAACTAAGGTGTAATTTGGTGAGAAAATAACCCAGATAGCACATGACGCCTTGAAGACGCTCATTTTACGGCTATTTTAGGTTTGAAACACCTTTATGCCGTCGTGTACTATCTGGGCATGAACCTATTATCAGTACAATTCCATAAAAACCTGATGAATAGACTGATTTTATGCATTTATAGCCTATAGGGCACTCCGAAATACAGTAAAAGACAAAATTTCCATCAGAAGCAACAATGTTTCTATTTTATTCTTCACCCAATAAGATACTTAAGAGAAGAAAGATATTCCTACATTTGCTCGTGTCTTTATAAATTACTTTATAAAATGTCATTTTGCATAAAAATCCGCAGTCTCTTGATGAATGAAAAAATCTCTGCAGATGTTACTATAAATCTTTGCGCCAACAATTAGTTGTTTAACATGACTTTTCTGTATCCTTTTCCTATATCACTGAATAATTCACTGCTGGTATAATAATTAACGCAATCAATTGAACGGTTTTTAAATGAAAATGCTGTTCAGGGTACCATAGGTTTTCAATTTCAAATATTACAAAATGAAGTATTAATTTACATAGCTAAAAATAATGGATCGCGTTTTGATACAGCTACATATCAACACGATCAATGAAAGGGTCTCTCGGTGAGAATGATTCAATGCCAAAGTAGTTGTTCATGCACCGGGGCTCTGTGTGCACACTGGACAATTATTTATAGATTGCATCCCACACCGAAGGAAATCCGTCATTCAATCACTTCCCTCTCAGCTGGGAACCCCTACTACGAAACTTGTTTTAAATCATTACATAATCATAACGTGGCGTATGCTCGTTTACGAGAGGGGTCGAATTATGATTGGCACAATGTACGAGAGGACGTTGCATATCCACAACGTTGTACCCGCGTTAAATATAAAACGATTATCGTGGTTCAGTAGGTCAGCTTAAAGGCGACAGGCCTGTAACCACATTTTTTCTAGATCACTTTATTTCAGTGAAACAACGAAACTCGAACTTTGGTTCGAGTAATTGCCTTCTTACGAATTTATCGCGTGCGTCCCATTGTACTTGTACACTGACGAGCAAACTCGGCTTCTACTAGGGGAAAATGTGAGGTAGGCGAAGGACCTCCTACCATTTAGTTTTGGGAGTTACTGAAATTTATGCCAAACGAATATTTGGTTTAACATTTATTTCCGTACTTGACATAAATTTAGTAAGTGGTAAGGAGACTTTTCTACTACGCCACTTTTTCCTGTAGCGGAAGCCGAGTTTGCTCGTCGGTGTACGACTGCAATTGTTCACTTCAACGAGCTTGCATTTTTCGTGCTATTATTTTTGTAAATTGGTCACGTTATCTGGGCATGAACAATTTCTGGACACGCGATTCACGAACGATCTTGTGTTTGAACTAGACCACAAGTCTTCTTCAGTTATGCAGTAGATTGAATTGTCCCACTAACAAAATGTATTTTTCATTTGCAATTCATATTCTATGTTTCTTCGATTGTTTTTTTTCTCTTATATTAACTTACTGGTACTTGTCGGTGTTCATGGGACTGGGTTATAAAATTCATATGACACTTACCGCGACAGTCAATTGCGGTCATGTATCCAACGAGAAACTCTTATGTAGCAGTTAAAAAAGGAATCAATGATTTGCAAGTAAAAGGGCTATGAAATGGTGGTTTTGAGATCGAAACCATTGGAATTCAATGGGGATAATTGATTATTTTGCAAATAAAACAATTGAATTTATCTACAAAATACGTAAAAACGTTCGGAAGAAAATTCTGAATGGATTGAATACAGTTTGTATAATTAGAATCATTTAATGTTGGAATATGTCACCGTAGGCACATTAAATTGAAATTGCATGCTTATTTTAGGCTTAATAAAAAAAAAATTAAAAGATTGCTTCTTGTTTTGGTGAATATTGCTGGATTTTTATTCAAATAAAAAATATCGAATAGTTTCTTAATGTAGAATGATTTTAGTAGAGTTTTCAGTAGAATGATATCGCTATGTTTTAACTAACAGATGCTTCTTCGGCAATATCAACGGACATGTATGTTCATTTCATAGAAGTTTAAATTAAGAAAACTGATATTTTCTTAGAAAATCTATGACCTTTTCTTAAAATTGATCAACTTTCATCGGACACTGTATACTGTTATCTGTATAATTTGAAGTAAATCGTTCGAATAGATTTTTTTTTCAAAGTTTCAACTATACTTTCTACGGTTATGAAGTGAAAATAATATTTATTGCAGTCCGTTTTCAAGCATTTCTCGACTATAATAGGGAGTGTCGTTGTTTGCGTTAATCTCCCTTGAATCTAATCTTTGCTGTATGGATAAAAGGGGTCTAACCGGGTAAGCATGGGAAAACGGCCTCGGTACCAATTTTAGTATTTATGTTTACCAAATAATGCTCTTTACCTAAAAAATAACTGTGATTAATTTCAAATCTCTATTCCCTCTCGTAAAGGTGATATGAGGATAACAACCCTAAACTTTACCATTTTTTTTTCTCAACAACTAGTTAAGATATTTGAATGTTTCCAAATACAGATAGTAAATAATTTTTAGCTCTAAAACATATATTTTTCCGAAAGTGTAAATCAATTATTAAGGGTAGAAATAAAGGAATTAAGTTTTTGGGGGTGGTTTTTGCAAACATTCCTTCGAGTGAAACCTACCAAAAAAATCAGAAGTAACGCGTCACTATTTAGCTTATTATCTATATAAGTTGCAGGAGGGTCGAATTGGTGGAACATATTTAAAAAAAAATGAAACCAATATAATACCTCTCGCAGATTATACCAAAGGCGTTTCAATTATGTAAAACGTTTCAAACATTTTTTTTTTCAAATGATACATTTTCAAGTAGCGGCAGTCATTGCAACGCGTTTCACGAAAAATGCGCTTTGTGAATACTATGTATTATTGTTGGATAAAAAATTGCTGAACCTTACTGAACACGTAAGTTTTACAACGTATGACATTTATCAATACAGTTTTCTAGGTTTGCCTAAAAAAATTCCCAAAGATGCACATTTCTTGTACTCTCCTACAACTTATATAAATAATAAACTAAATAGTGACACGTTACTTCTGATTTTTTTGGTAGGTGTCACTCGAAGGGATGTTTGCAAAAACTACCCCTAAAAAATTAATTCTTTTATTTCTACCCTTAATAATTGATTTACAATTTCGGAAAAATATATGTTTTAGAGCTAAAAAGTATTTACTATCTGCATTTGAAACATTCAAATATCTTAACTAGTTGTTGAAAAAAAAAATGGTAAAGTTTAGGGTTGTTATCCCCATATCACCCTTACGAGAGGTGGTAGAGATTTGAAATTACTCACAGTTGTTTTTTAGACACAGAGCATTATTTAGTAAACACAAATACTAAAATTGGTGCTGGGGCCGTTTTCCCATGCCTACTTCCTGTAACCTTCGTGTTAGTTAATTCTCAGCCAGTAATTTGCAGTAGGTATTCATTACTTAGATCAATTTA